CCGTGTCCCCGGCGCTCCTGAACTCGCCCCTGTACCGTGTCCCCCCAACACTCACTGAACTCGTCCCTGCACCGTGTCCCCCCAACACTCACTGAACTTGCCCCTATACCCTGCGTGCCACCGCAACACTCACTGAACTTGCCCTGTACCCTGTGTCTGCCCAACACTCACTGAATTCGCCCCTGCACCCTGTCCCCCCAACACTCACTGAACTTGCCCCTGCACTGTGTCCCCCAGCAGTCACTGAACTCGCCCCTGCACCCTGCGTCCCCCCAACACTCACTGAACTCGCCCCTGCACCCTATGTCTCCCCAGCACTCACTGAACTTGCCCCTGTACCCTGCATCCCCCCAACACTCACCGAACTAGCCCCTGCATCCTGCGTCCCCCCAACACTCACTGAACTCACCCCTGCACCCTGCATCCCCAGTGTACCCTCCCCGGGCACTCACTGAACTCGCCCCTCCACTGCCAGGCCATCTTCCGCTGGCAGTTTGCTCCGGGCTTGTTAAAGTCACAAGCAGCACAGGTGGCCTCATCCACCATGGCGGAGGGCTTGAGGGGAGGAGGGAGGAGGAAGAAGAGTTAGGGCTTTGGATGGACAGAATCCCAACTCTGCTGGGCATAGTGGAAGCTCACCTGTAGGCGGTTGGTAAGAATGATATTGGGGTACATGGCCCCCACGTCAAGGTGGTAAATAAGGGGACACTCAATTCGATTAGGAACGTCTTTCAGGGAGGTGAGTCTGATCTTGATCTGGTCACACACCTTTAGGGGAGGAAATAACAGAGTCAGAGACCAAAGTAAGGGACTGATCGTGTCAGACAGCCATGAAGATGCCACCCCAGGCTCTAGGGACATGGGTGCCTTCAAACAAGAACAGGCCCAGATGAGGGGCACATCCATGGGAAGCAGCAGCCTCCCCCATAAGAGCTATCAGGGCTAGGACAGAACTCCGAGAAGAGCCGGGCAGGTGAGTCCACATGTGCCTGCTGAGCCCGCACTCAGAGTGGCTGTCAGCCTGACATGGCAGCCGTCTGTCAGGGAGAGTGTCCACCCAGAGCTGGCATGGCAGCCCACCACTGTGAACCCGCACCCACTGCCCATCCTCAAGGCCTGCACCCACTGCTCGTCCCCAAGGCCTGCGCCCACTGCCCGTCCCCAGGGCCCGCCACCCTGGACTCGAGCCACCCTGGACCCACGTCCCCCGCCGCCCGTCCCCAAGGCCTGCCACCCTGGACCTGCATCCACTACCAGTCCCCAAGACCTCTCCCTTCTGTGTCACCCACATTACTGTGCAACCAAGAGCCAGCTCACCTGGCACATCCTCCATCAATACTCCTACGCCAGGAACACTGGACACCTCCTCAGTCACACCAAAGCCCTGTCCTCTGGCCTAAGCACTTCGGCAGAAAGACCCTGTTCCCTGTCTCAGCGTCCATGGGACTGGCACATATTTCATGGAAAGAAGCCAGTCTGAGAGGTCACGCACGAGAACGTCGTCTCTTCCTGTCTCCCTCCTTCGCTTCTTCACCTCAAAACAACATGCAGACACTGGGCCTTAAGTTTTACCTCTTGGAAGTTGATGACCTGCTCGATGGGTACCTTCTCCTCCTCCTCAATGGCATGGCGCATGGTCTTCTCGACCCGCTGCAGCAGGAAGTCGAAGGCAGCAGGGTTCTAGCACAACAAAGACACACGAATGAAACCGAAACTCAGCTGCGTTAGCCCACCTCTGAGCACATCAGAAATGATGCCACAGTCAGCACGCCCAGAACACCTGCTGTGTGCTGGGCACTGCCAGATGTTCCAGATAGAATTAGTACCACCTGCCCCAGGAGGACCAGGACTCATCGGCAACACATAGCAGGCCCTGGAAACACCAACCAAAGTCGTGCACAATACAAGCCCCAAAGGGAGGGCAGGGCAGGGCAATATGTGGTGACGCTTGGTACGCATGGAGCCAGCAAGGGGGCCCAGGAGAGACTGAGGAGAAAGGACTTTGCGTTCACTCCTCTCCTGTGGCTCCCAGGCCCCAGCAAGGGAAAGGCGGGGGACCCAAGTCTGAGGACCAGGGCAGGGTGGGGGGGAGGTGCACACCATCCTGAACCGGCAGGGGATGTCACTGCGGAACACTCCAGACTCGAGGGCCTCCACGTGGCCACCCACGTAGGTCTCAGCATCCAGCACGTGGCCATCGTCTGTCAGCTTGTTAAACTCCTGCTCTTGCTTGTTGGGGAAGATGATGTTGGCATGGAAAGCCTGGACCATCAGCAAGGCCTCACACAAAGTTCCAGATCCCTTCCGCAGCACCTGGTGGGAAGAGGCATGAAGATTCTGAGCCAAAACAAGCTGAGTTTCCCAAACCTGACACCCAAGGCCCTGACTTGCAGGCAAAGTCCCAGAAGCACGAGAAAGGCATCAGACCTGACTCTGATGTAAAAGGAAAGAAAATCTATTGATAAATTGCTGTAATACCACTCAGTCATAAAGAGAAATGAAGTCCTGATGCATGCTACAACATGGACGAACCTTGAAAACATCATGCTGAGCAAAGTCCATCAGTCACAAAAGGGCAAACAGTGTATGATCTTACTTGTACGAAATAGGCAAATATATAGAAACCAGAGATTACTAGTGGTTGTGGGGAGAGAGGGAGGGAGGAAGGGTGAGTTTTTGCTTAGGGGGCATTGAGGATACATTATTGGTGGTGGAACGATCTGGAAAAGGATAGCGCGAATGAGTGCACAACTTAAAGAATGTAATCAATGTCGCTGAGCTGTACGTGCAGAAATTGTGGAGTTGGCATCTGTTCTGTTGTATATTTTCACTACAATTAAAAAAAAATTGCCATAAGCTTTGCCTCCCATGGTTATGGGTTCCCAAATGACATTAGAGATATCTGCACACGAAGGTTCTGCAGCTGCTGTCAATACCACCGTGCATGACCACTCGTGCCTTTAGGTGACGATGGCTTCAGGAGGGTCTGTGGGATGCAGGACAGCAGGCCACAATGGCACTGACCTCATCGGGCTCCATGGGGATGATGGTGCACAGCGCAAAGATGAAGGGGTGGACATACTTCATGTACATGTAGTACGTGGCCACCGCGTCCGACACTGAGTACGTGGCCAGGGTCTGGGGAGAGAGCAGGAGAGACATTAACTTAGAGATTCGTCAGACAGCCGTCACAACCAGAGCTCAGGTAGCACGAAAGCCCTGGAAGCTGGACCCGGGAGAGGTAGAGCAAATATGCCAGCTGGCTGCAGCTCACAGAGCACAGGACAGCACAAACCGATCCTGGTGGGAAGTGGCTGGGCGCAGGTAGGCGTGGGTGGGCACTCACGGTGGGGCACAGGGTCCCACAGTGTGGAGTGGCTCACGTGCCTGGGGCTGCTCGGTGGCCATGCGGCACATGTCCTCAGGGTCCAGCTCCACAGGGTCGTAGCCCAGCTTGGCTTTGGCAGCTGCCTTGAGGTTGTGGCTGCCCACAGGAAGATAGCTATCTCTCTTCACCCACCTGAGGATAAAACAAGAACGGAAGTCGCAGATTACTCTTACCTGAGCCCAGAAACAGCGGAACAGGGAGAGCTGGACACATCAGACGCTCACACCAGGTCTCCCACACCAGGCCCCCTACAAGAACTGTCTGATCTCTGGCCTAGTTAACTTCACAGATGCACCCACAAATCACAAGAAAATGGCAGTCCTTCTTCCAGCCCCTCCCTTACCTCTCCCCCCAGCAAGTGACTCAGCTCCTGTTTCAGAGAACAAAAAACTGGCAGCCGAGCCGGGCTCCTCACCTCCCTCCATCTCCTGAAGACCTCGCTCCGTGGCCAACTGCCCACAGGAGCCTGCCTGATCTGCTCCCGCTCCACGCTGCGGCTCATCTGTAAGCTCTGTGGGGTCCCCTTGGGCCAAATTCCTCTCCTTCAGCATGACAGACCCAGGCCCACCCCTTCTTTACAAAAGACCCCCCATCACTCTCCACTCCAAACTCCCCACTTGTGTCCTCCTCTGTTCGTGTTCTCCCCAGTACCCCGCCCCTCCCCAGCCCGCACCCCTTCCCAACCCCTCGGTGTTTCCCCACCAAGCCGGAGGCTGACACTCAAATGCTTGCTGATTAAATGAGTGTGTGATTAGCAAGCCATCTCTGCAGGATGCCACAGCCAGCAGTGCTGAGCCCTCAGATCACCCAGAGGGACTTCTTTCAGCCCCACTCCTCTCACATCCTGAGACGTTTGTAAGTGGTCACCCTGACACACCTCGGCCCCTGGGACCTCCCTCACAAAATGCCCTGGTGGGGCTCTGTGATGACCACCAGGCAATGACACCCCTCCTCCTCCCAGGTGTACCTGAGACAGTCCATGTGGATGCACTGGGGGGCCTTGTACTCCCCTTGGCTGTCCTTCTGGAACCCTATCTCCTGGTACATGCTCAGTCCATGCGCAGCCGCTCTGGCCTCCACAAATGGCCTGGGGGCAGAGCAATGGAAAGGCACACGGACAGTCTGTCTGATTTCCCTTCCTCTGCCTTCTCTCAGACAAGGAAGCCTGCTCCCATGGGCTCCCAGCGTCGACTCTAACAATCCTTCATACCCATCTTCCCCTCAAGCAGAATGAGGAAAACCTCCCGGCCCCTCCCTCCCTCCCAGATGCCCATCATGTAGTCACACATAAAACCTCAGACTCACCAGTCAAAGAAGTCTCCGTTGTAGGTCACCATGATGGTGGGCTTGGTCTCTTGCACGTGCTCAAACCACCTCTGGATGAGATGAAACTGAACCCAACACAGGACAGCAGTCAGGGGTCTTCTTTTCCCTTCTAGATGTCTCACACCCCACTCCCAGAGTTTGGAAAAAGCTGCCGTGTCAGCATTTTGCACCCACCCAGCCCAGTCTCCAGTGTGAAGACAATGTGACAGAACATCAGGTTCAGGGAGCTTTGGCTCTGACAGAATGAACGCCGGGGGGCCTCAAACCAATCAAGTCTCCTCTTTCCATTCCACCCTGAAATGCTTGGGCAGTTTCCCACGTGGCACCTATTACCTCATCGGGTTCATTGAAGACACAGAACGGCCCTTCATATTCTGGCTTGGGGGTGAACTCAAAGTCTTCAATATCTTCTGAAACAATCTCCCTGTTAGTGATCAGGTAGCCCTGGTGGAGTTGAGCAGCAGCAATGTTAGAGACAGCAACACCAAAGGTACAGCCCTCAACATTCCACCCAGAAACTCCGGACGGACAAAAAACATCTGCAGCGACTTGAAGGCATTGTGAGTTCCTAAAGTGGAGAAGTGTTCCCTGCCCCCTGGTGCTCTCAGCTGCAGGAGGGACAAGCTGAATGTCCGGACAGCTCGCTCATTCACTCTCCTGGACTCCGTCTACTCATTTATCCACCCAGCAATTATTAACTACGCAGCAGATGCTGCTCTACTTCTAGGGGCCAGACAAGGTCCCTGTCTTCATGGAGCCGACCTCCAAGAAGCCAAGCTGCTCACCTGCCCATCGATCATGTAAGAAATCATCATAATCTGGTCAGTCTCAGCATCAGGAAACTTGAGAGGTAATTTAGTTGTTTCAATGTCAAATGCCAAAACTACAGGGTCCTGAAAGTACAGACAGTCTAGTTAAGTCCACAATATACCAATCTGACCTCTGAACTCCTGGGTGAGTCCTCTTCTGCACACCCACCCGCCGGCCTGCTCAGTGCCCGGTTTCTGAAAGCAAGAGTCAAAGTACCACTGGGACGGGTTCTGAAAGGGCTAGGACAGACACCCAGGGACTGACTGACCCGCGTCAACAACACCATGTCCACCGATGGCATGGAAACTGAATTTAAACACATAAGAAACAAAACTAGGGCGGCTGGTAAGAGTAAAAGCCTGGAATTACAGAAAACGCTAGTTTCAAAGCTCTTTAAAATGTGCTACACCTCAGTCTGACCTTTTACAACAACACTGACAGCTGACTGTGGTCCAGAAGTTGATGACTTCCTTTCAGAAATGGGAAAACCTACTACAGTGACTTTTCCAAGGTCACGTAGCTGTACTTGAAGCAAGGACTTCCCATCATAAATCCAATGCTTTTCTACCATATCACTTCACTATCAACTACCAAACGGGAGTCACAGCTTTTCCTCAAATGGTCAGGTACAAAATGAAACTACACTCGGAAACTGATGGAAAAATTACGGCTCCCTAGTTCTTTTAAGAAAGGATTTGAGGAAAAAGAATCAAATGTACGTTTCTGCATTGGTTTTGATCTCTGTAGACCAGTGGTACAAGGCCTTAGAAAAGCAAGTGGAAATTACACGACAGAAGTCCAGGCAATACTTACAGGTCGTTCAACGAGGTCATCTCGGCGGGTGATTTCCACTGGAAAGGCACTGCCCCGGTATCTGACATTGTACCAGTGAGCCTGTGGAACACATAGTGCATTAACGAAAGGGCTCCACGTCCAAGGAAGTCTACTCCTCTATGGCTCTGCCATTAGTATCATCTCCTGCCTTTTAGGGATCTCATGTAAGAAACAGCCCTGGATTTCACCCGGCCCACTCACCACATGGATCTTCAGGTCAATGGAGAGGCGGATGTGGTAAGGGACGTCATACTCTCGCATGTCTACAATGTTGTCCATCTGGTCAGCTATCCTTTTAGAGGCTTCCTCTTCATCAGTCATTACTCCACCTCCTTGCAGAACACTACAGAAGAAAAGAGTAAGCACTTAACTCAACGGCACTCAGCCAGAGGCTGGAGGACGGGAAGGCCAGAGTCAATGCGAGTGAATAGGAAAGGCGCATCAAGGTGGTCAGAGTTGGCAGGACAGCCCTTCCTTGAGGAGTGACCAAGTACAGGGAAGTCCAGTGTACACTTAGGATCCACGTGTGCTGTACTATGTAAATTATACCTGTTTTTGAGAAAAGGAGGAAAGCACATTCAGGCTCAGTGTTGCCTGTCAAGGGGTGCACTGGTGTGGCGTAGGTCATTCTTCCCATCCCAGTGCTGCCCACCATCCCATGTCCTCGGCTACATGGGAGGCCAGACCATGCAGAGGGCAGCACCTCTGGCGTCACAGACCTGTGTGTGGGCCCCAGCCCTGACACATCTGAAGATGTGGCCTAACCTTGCCAAGCTTCAGTTTCTTCATTGAGAAATGAGGATGATAACAGATCTATCCCACAGGAGTGTCGTGTGGGTTAAATGAGGTGACGGTCACATGGCTCTGAGCACACTATCCAAGGCAGAGTAAGTGACTGAAAATGGTAACTACTTCCATAGCACAGTTAGTCCTATTAGATCCAAGCTGTCACTGGAATATCGTCCAATATCGGCCCACTAAATGTTCAAATACTGAATGGGCTATTAAGGCAAGAAAAAAAAAAAAACTGAGTCTCAGAGAAGGCTTGGGCCACTGGGGACTTGGTCTCTGATTACACCTCACAATATTCTGAAAAGTAATTTATAGCACCTCTGGGAGAGGTAAAGGGACTGTAGAAATTTTCAGAGTTCCAAACTTCTTTGGCCTGAGGATATTAGCTCTTTTGAGATCATTGCAATATCTAATTACTCGAGATTTTCTCTTCGTAATCTTTTATCCTGCTTCCTATATTGCTATTGTTTAGATGTTCTATATTTAAATTTCTCTGTACACTACCCAAGGTTCTCTGGAGAACACATGCTATGTAAGTGCTAGGCACTTAATAAATATTTGTAGATGGCCTAACACTTTCCACAAGCCATGAAAACAGACTGTGTTACAGTGGTTGGATCAGGGGTCTTTCTTTCTTTAAAATTTCTTCACTGTTATTCATTATTAGGGCCATAAATGCAGCCCCTGGGTAAGAAAAGAGAGATAGCTAAAATATATAACTGAGAGAAGACCTGGAAGCCACCTTCTTTAACACATTGCATATACCTAATAGCTCAAAAGTGTCTCCACAACAGATGAAGCCCATCATTAAGACAACTTTATTGCTAAGTTTTCCTGCTCCTTACAGCTCCTATTCACCTTGCAGTTTAAGAAAAAACAGGAAAACAATCATTCTGGACCAACTAGCTACTCCGCTTAAGAAAATGGCATGTTGGACCACAACTACCACGGCCTCCACCAGACTGAGTCTAATACAACTAGATGGTGTCTGGCTACCACCACGGACTGCCTTGACTGGGATCACAACAGAGGGTCCTGGACAGAGCTGGAAAAAGATGTGGAACAAAATTCTAACTCACAAAAAAAGACCAGACTTACCGGGCTGACAGAGACTGGAGAAATCCCGAGAGTATGGCCCCCGGACACCCTTTTAGCTCAGTCATGAAGTCACTCTTGAGGTTCACGCCTTCGGCTAAAGATTAGACAGCCCCATAAAACAAAACGAGACTAATGGAGCACAACAGCCCAGGGACAAGAACTAGAAGGCAGGAGCGGACGGGAAAGCTGGTAATAGGGAACCCAAGGTCGAGAAGGGAGAGTGTTGACAAGTCATAGGGTTGTTAACCAATATCATAAAACAATACGTGTAGTACCTGTTTAATGAGAAACTACTTGCTCTGTAAACCTTCATCTAAAGTACAATCGAAAAAAAAAAGAAAACTCCCAACAAAAAAAAGAAAAGAAAATGGCATGTACCTGGAGAGCATAGCTGTGTAGGTGTCGCTGGCATTGTCCTGTTCTCGGTTCTTCCTCACTGCAGGGGAAATCTCCTTCCTCACTTTGACAAGATCCTCCACCGTGTTAAAGGACAGTTTAATGTAATTTCGCTTCAAACCCACTAAATGATTTGGCTGTGAAGTGAAGAGGTCATGCTCGTGAATTCAAGAGAAAGGGGTTTATTGGTGAAAGAAAACAAGGAGATAAAGACTCAAAGGTAAATACACACAAATCACAGAGTTGGTAAATCCACAGCACCCTGTTCAACTGTGCACATGGCACCGACTAATGCCAGAAGAGTTCTGTGAGTAAGACTTATACATAGTCGCCAAAGCCCTGTCATTCATACCCCCTTCCAACATTAATTACTCCTTGGGTCATGAACAGACAACCTGCCTTTCTAACTCCTTCCCAGCTCACTTGCCACAGACAGTGTGGGTAACAGCCTCACTGAGCCCTGGAAGGCATGGGTTATACTTACCAAGTCCAGATCTTCTTTGGGGACGGTCTCCACTTTAGCAATTTTACCCTGAAACTTCTTGGAGAGAAAAGATGAAACTTCCCGTTCACAACCCTGAATCACGATCAGAATTAAAGGACTTTCCATTAGTAACATCTATTTGTTTTTGTACCTGTTTCTCTAAAAGTCCTTTTATTTCTGAGATCCAAAGCCCACCACAAAAATAAGGCTCAGGTCATATGACCTGACCCTATGAAATATAAGCTTACCTTTCTGGTTGCAATGTAGAAATATGGCTTATAGGGTAACCCCACCTGCAAAAGAGTCACCAACCCACCCAGGGGTGATGAGAAAGAAAAAAGTGAGAAAAAAATGAAGACAGGCTATTTATAAGCCATGAACAGCCCTAGATCCAATGCACCCTTGACTTAGATATCACTGAAGAAAGCACAATAGGAAAATAGCATCAGCCCAGGTCTCAGGAGCAAGAATCTAAAAGACACTATTCACTGTTCAGAGCCCTAATGAGCTAACGTCTTTTAGGAAATCTTGAATGATGACCAGCGAGCCTCCAATGGGTCACATGTTCTCGACAGGCCGAGGGCAGGTATACACTACAAGCTGTCTTATCCCCCTCCTGAACAATCACAGAACTAAGTGAATTCTTATCATTTTGGACCCAGCAACTCATCAGAGTGGATTTTAGCTTCTTCAGGGCTCATGGCTTACCTTAAATCTGCTCCCATCATCTTGAATAAAGTAGTAATCTACTGCACTGACTAAGCGCTTATCTTCATCTAAAACCTCAGTCTGAAAGAGAATATCACAGTCAACAGGGGCACAAAATTATCCTCTACATAGTGTAAGAGCTCTTTTCCTTATACTCTTTGGGAAACTGAGGACTTTAAAAATAAAATCCTTCTCCTCTAGCTCTTAACTCCACCCCCGCATAAATGATACCAGCCTCATTCTTAAGAAGTGCATCACAACAGCCTCCACACGAGGATTTCTCTCACAATCCTTGAAAGCTGTATTCTGATGGTGGCCCCTCACCTCAGTCCTCCCACAGGGGCCTCTTTGTGGCCCTCAATGATGTTCAAACAATCAACAGGTCCCCATAAGTGTCACCCATTCCTCAGACAAGGAATACACTACAAAAAGGGGTGTCATCGCCTGCCTGAGTTGGAGAATGAGTGAATGGAAAGCCCAGGTGCTTACAGGATGCATGTTGATGAGCCAGCCGGTCTTCTCTCCAGGCTCCTTCAGCCTCTCAAAACCAAATCGCAAATCCATCTTATCTGTCCACTGGCTTCGCTCCAAGCGCTTAAGCGCCGAGACTGAGGAAGAGGAGCCATCATCCCTTAGGAAAAGGAGGATGGAAAATCCAGTCTTCATTTTCACGATGCCATCTATTCGTGTCTACTCACACAACCCTTAATTCACCTAATTTAAGAGTTATGGCTATAACACTGTACATGCATTCCTAAAACACCTCACATTTGGCAAAACAGTTCCTTATAATAACGGGACTCATGGGAAGATACGATTGGGGCATATCTATGCAACTTTATAAGTAGAACACAAACAAAAACAATAATGATGGCTGGGTATTGCCTCAGGAATATTCATAGCAGCTTTACTCGTAATAGCCAAAAACTGGCAACAACCCAGATATTCTCCAAAAGACAAACAGTTAAACAATCTGTGGTATATCCATACCATGGAATGCCACTCAGCATTAAAAAGGAATGAACTATTGGTACACACATAACTTCAATGCTTCTCAAGGGAATTATGCTGAGTGAAAAAAAGTCAATGCCAAAAAATTACTGTATGGTGGTAATACAGCAACTCACCAGCTGCCACTATGGAAAAAAAGACCTGGCGATCTGCTCCCGTAAAGATTTCAGCCTAGGAAACCCTATGGGGCAGTTCTATTCTGTCCTATAGGGTGTCTATGAGTCGGAATCGACTCACGACACACAACATGAGAAATTAGAGATGGAGAACAGATTAATGGTTGCCAGAGACTTGAAGGCGGGGGTGTTGGCTGTAGCTATAAAAGGGTAGTACAAGGGATCCTTAGGACAGAACTGTTCTGTATCTTGACTGTCTTGGTGATCACACAAATCTACTTGTGATAAAGCTGCATGAAACTAAACATACACACACATAAGTGAGTGTATGCAAAACTAGTGAAATCTGAATAAGGTGGATGGATGACATCAGTGTCAATTTCCTGGTTGTGATATTGTAAAGTAGTTATGCAAGATGTTACCATTGGGGGAAACTGGATGAAGGGCGCACTGGATGTCTCTCTGTATTATTTCTTTCAACTGCCTAAGAATGTACAACTATTTCAAAATAATTTTTTTCTTAAATGCACAAAAACAAGAGAGTGGAAACGCTGGCTTGTGAATACTCAGACCTCTGAGCATAGGAGAAAGTGTCACCTGCCACACTGAGAACTGTGTAAGGCAGAGGTGCATGTCTCTGGGGAAGGAGGCCCAGGTGTAGGTGTTCGTATTAAATTTTCTTAAAATAGAACTGAAAGGGTATATATCTGCACAACTGTCCATCTAAGGGCTTTTTCCGTTCCTACTGAGGATTATAATTCTATGCCCTCCATTCCAATTCCCTTTGCCTAGGAACAATCGCTAAAGAACCATTTCAATCTCCCCATTTTACTGACACTGTTTCCCTATTTACCAATCAAATGGGAGTTAGCTGGTGTTATGGAAACACCTGTTGAAGCAAAACAACCTATACCTTGAAAATGCAATACATCCTTCTGGGATGCCTGGATCTAGCTGTCAGAACAACCAAATATGGATAAAAATGGAAATACAATCTTGTTTTGTGAGGTTATGGAAGGATATACCTCAACTAACAAGGAAACTCATTTTTCTCTGCTCTATAGTACCAATACATCTGCCTCAAACTTTCCAAGCCTCTTCTGGTTAGAATCTATAATAACTCTTCATAAGGTTTTTACCATAAACCTTAAAATTAAATAAAGTACCTGATGAAGACTTTCTACCACCAGAACTATTCAAACCAAACCTGTCCTGATTCCAGGGCTTAGATTCTCCCCAACTTGTTCACAAGCTTTAACTCCACAGGTGTGATCCCATAGGGATGGACCAGAATCATTACAGCATTTCCTTTTGTTTATTAGTATTCTAGCGTGAAAAGGAGAAATGACTTGCTAGCTTCTTTTTTAAACCACTCCTGAGATTCTAAAGTCTGTATATTTTCTGGCCAGAAGCCCTATTTACTTCCTAAGTCACATATAGTCTCCATTCCTTAAAAAGGTAGAGGTAAGAACCAAAGCCTTGTGCCTTTTTGTCTTACTAAATGAGCTACTTTATAAAGCAGTGAGCAGAGAAAAAATACACATGTCTAGAGTTGATGCTGACAAGGTGGTGGGAGGCGGTGAGACGTGATGGTAAGTATACATTTGTTGTGCAGAAACAACCAGGTTCTAATCATTCTGCTTCCTGGACTCGGCCACACACGCATATGCACAGATACACTAATTCTTTCTTGTAGACTGCTCTCTTGACCCTATTTCCCTAAAAGCTGTTCATGTGTGTCTTCCAAAGAACAGGGTAATGTGAGATGTTATACAATAATTCAGACATCAAAAGAGTTCTCTCCCCAGCTATTCATGGATATTCATTCCTTCCCTGCCACTACTTTTCACTTCCCAGGAACATACTTACTTCATAGTATTGATGTAACGATTAAATGAGCTAATTCATGTAAAGCATTTAGAACAGGGTCTACCACATAGTAAAAGTTAAACAGTAGCTATTATTAATATTTTCTATTATGACGACAGCCTGACACCTGCTGTAAGGACATCACTGAGGACATGGGGAGGCAGTGAAGAGGAAAGGATAAGAGCTCAGGCTTTCTCTTTCACTGCATTCTCTCATACTGCAATCATGAACTCAGGTAAATTCCTTCACATCTCTAAGCCCTGGTTTCGAGTACAGAATACAGATAATAACCGTATGTACTTCAAAGAGTTTTCCATTAGGGGTCAGTGAAATGATGAATATAAAGCATTTAGCACAATAACTATTAGCTACCATTATTATTGTTGTTATAAACCAGTATAGCACTCAACCTTTCCTCTGTGAAAAATTTTGTGTGGAGCTAAGTGACAGTAAAAAGGTTTTGTTTTCTCTCCTTATGGCTAAAGGGAAGCATGCATCTAATCATGCTGACATTTTGCTTTGACCAACAAAAAGCTCAGTATTACCACACTTGGCCTACCTAATCTGCGCTCTATTTCCCTCCCAGGTTCTTGACCCTCTATTTATATCTTCCCTCCATCCTGACTTTATTTTTATTACAGAGTTTGTGGAAGATCCCAAATATAACTGTGGAACCAGGTGAGGCATAAATACAAATATCTAAGTAGTAATAATAATAATGTGAAAGATAATGATGAAGTGATGATGAACAAAAAAACACTTGAATGAGGAGTGAGGAAAGCAGGGATTAAATCCTCACTGCCGCTATGTGTGTGATATATCCTTATTATCAAATGGGGAAATCCATTTTTGCCCTGCCTTGAAAGGAACAGAGATGTGCATATCCAAGTGATTCATGCACCATAAAGCACTCCATGGAAAAAGAATAAGAAACAATAGACGTAATGTCTTTGTAAAACTATACACCAGTGCTTCTCAAAAAGAACACGTTTCAATTTAGAAAAGCCTCTGGAGTGAGTCCTATCTGCCTCGACCCCAATGGGGGTAGGGAGAGAGAATCACCACAGTTGTTGGTCATTTGCAGCTGTTCCTAGAGGTGGGTCCTTGCCTTGTGTGGGTGACAGAGAGTAGAGGAGAAAAAAAGGTGAAGAACACCACCTTTTATACCTAAGCAGGAAGCTGGAAAAGATATGAACAAGCCACCAAAACTGACCAAGGGAAAACGTCAGTAAGTGCCAAAGCCAGGTGATGGCTACCCAAAGATTTACTATATACTTTCTACTGCTCTGCATATTTCAAGTTTTTCCTTACTAAAAATGCTAAAGCAGTCAAAGGCTAAGATGGAGACTCTCATTCTTGATTTTTCCAGAAGTGTACAAATCTGTTCATGAAACCACAAACACATACGGTAGCACCCAAATTAATAAATTACGGGCACGACACCCAACCCATCGCTGCCAAAAGATTGTTTTCTGCCTGAGAAAGGATTTTCTTAACTGCAAGGCTAGAAACTTTACAGAAGAAAACAACAACCTGGTAATCACCATACTCTAGCCCTCACGCCTCAAATTTCCTTTCCACATCGGCTGCTGGGCCCACCGCCCCGCGGCCGTCCACACAGGCCACGCGGTTTTGAGCGCTGCCTCACAAACATGACCTCCCTCATCCGTTCGGCGTTTCCCGACCCCGCTCGGTGCCGGCCCGGCGGACCCGGCATCATCCCCACGGGCGCTTCCTAGGGACTCAATGGCTGCAGCGCCAAGCGCGCCTCAGAACACGGTGGGGCCGTAAGAACGTCCCGCCGCCGGGAGGGGCAAGGCCGGCTCTTACCGGTTGGCCTCGCCGTCCCCGACAGGCTCCACGCGCCGCCGCCCGCTGTTCTGCAGAACCATCGCGCCGCTCCGGGCCGGTGCCTGAGGAGCCTGTCCTGACAGGAATTTGGCGCGCTCCGACCAAATCTCGCGAGAGACCGGAAGGGCACTCTCCGAAGCTATCCAATAAAGAGGGGCGGCGCGCCCCGCCCCGCAGAGCGCCAATGGCCGACGGCGCCCGAGGGGAGGTGGCTCATTAGGGACTGAGGGTAAAGTGTGCGCAGGCGTGCGCCGCGCACCCAGGGTCCGACCCGGGGCGACTCTGCAGGTCGTGGCCGGGCGGGAAATGTCAGGTTGTCCCCACGCCACTCCCTGAGCTCAGCCTGCCCGAGGTAGGGTCGGCGCCCCGGGCGGGCGAGGCGCGGGAGAGGCGATGGCGCCGGCGTTGTCGAAGCTGCGGGCCGAGGCTGGGCTCGGGGCGCTCCTGCGGCGGGCGCTTGCCCAGTACCTGCTTCTCCTGCGTCTCTACCCGGTGCTCACCAAGGCAGCCACCAGGTCTGCGCGGAGCGGCCGCGTGGAGGGGAGGGGCGGCCGGGCGCGGAGCGTAGAAGGCCGCGGGACACGGTCAGCCTGGGACACTTGTCAACCCGGGGCACTGTCAGCCCGGGGCACTGTCAGCCGGGGGCACAGTCAGCCCGGGGCACTGTCAGCCCAGAGCAGGACAGCCTGGGGCATGGTCCCACCCAACCCAAGCGACCGAGCTGCACAAACGCATCTTACCAAGGGGTTTGGGTGAGAAAGGCAAAATTGCTATGTATCCAAATGATCCTTCAAAGCCCTTAAATTAATCAGAAAGCCCAGTGTATACACTTTTGTGTATTTGGTCCTGAAAAATGATTCTTATGCACTCTAAAATGTGGAAATTAGGGAGCCAGACTAAAGGATGGCACAAAATGAAAGATGTCCTACAGTCAACCCATCTGCCCTCAAGGTAACCGCCAGTCCCCCAGAGCAGAATGGGACCTGGGTGGAGAAATCTAACACAGCCCAGCTTGTCTGCACTGTTCCCTCTGTCTTAATACTAAGTCTCTGCAGCCTTCTGGCTTGTTACTTGTTAGTACGTGTATTTCTTCTGAGAATCAGACTAGAGTGTTAGGTAAATGCCTGGTGGGGACAGCACAGAATGGCTAGACTGGGAGGTGTTTGAGACGCTCCTTTTCTTTGGACAGCTTTACCTTTGGGAGAAAACAGCTCATCAGGGAGTTGCCAACAAAAAGCTCTGTCTTTTGATTTGGAATACTAAACTTTTTATGAGACATCTCTGGCTTCCATTACTTTCAATTAATTTCTTTTATAAGTTCATCCCTTTTCATTAATTCAGCATTTTGTGTACATGTATGGAGTGCTTCGTGTGTACTGGGCCTACAGCAATATCAAAATCCCTACCTTCATGTAGTTTGCATTCTAGTGAAGTAAAGCAAAAGCAAATATATAAAATCGATAGTCAGGGAAGTTTTTTCTGAGGAGGTGTCTTAGTCATCTAGTGCTGCTATGACAGAAATACCACAAGTGGATGGCTTTAACAAACAGAAATTTATTCTCTCACAGTTTAGGAGGCTAGAAGTCTGAATGCAGGGCACCAGATCTAGGGAAAGGCTTTCTCTCTGTCGGCTCTGAGAAAAGGTCCTTGTCTCCTTTCAGCATCTGTGGGCCTGGCATTCCTGGGAGACCCCCATGTATATTGGTATCAATCTTTCCCTGGGTCTAGGAGGTTCTCAGAGCAGGAAGTCTGGGTCCAAAGGATGCAGTCCACTCCTAGCGTTTCTTTCTTGTTGGTAATGAGGTGTGACTCAAGCAAAGGTGTGACTTCAGAGACATCCCACACTGATCCCACCTTACTGACAGATTCCCATTCCCATTGCCGTCAAGTCAATTCCAACTCATAGCGACCCTATAGGACAGAGTAGGGCAGTTCCGAGGAGTTCCAGGGTTTCCAAGGAGTGGCTGGTGATTTCAACTGCCAGCCTTTTGGTTGGCAGCTGAGGTCTTAAGCACTGTGCCACCAGGGCTCCTGTTAACATACAGAGGTTAGGATTTACGACACATCACCAAAGGAAGCAAAATGCCCTCAGCTCACAGAAAGGAGGACAGCCACACAACACTGGGAGTCAGGGCCTAGCCAAGCTGACATATTTTTGAGGGACATAATTCAACCCATGACAGGAGACGACATTTGAACAGAGGCCCTGATGAATGGAGGGAATCAGCCATGTAAAGGACTGAAGCAAAAGCTGTCAGCAGAGGGAACAGGAGGTACAGGAACAGTAGGTACAAAGGTCCTGAGGAAGAAGCAAGGAGTAGAAAAAAGGTCTGTGTTGCTGGAGGAGATGAACAGTGAGCAAGGGAGAGATGTGAAAGGAGAGGTAGCCAAGGGCCAGATCAAAAAAGGTCCTCATCATCCTCACTAAGAATTTTGGCAACTACAGACTGAGCCATGGAGGGAGCTGTCTCCACTTTTTTTTTCTTAATTGAAATTTTGATTGTGATAAGAATATATACATGCAGTTGTAATAACTAACACAGAAAGATCCTTCGTATTTGTACACTTTGCCCATTTCCCCAATGGTAACATCTTGCAATATTACAGTGTAATATCACAACCAGGATATTGACATGGATACAATGCGCCCAATTTCCCATTTTACGTGTACTCTGTGTGTCTGTGTGTGTGTGAAGTTGTTTTCTGTTTAGGGACCTGCAGCTTCTTCAGTAAGGTCTTATCTCTGGCTAGCCACAGCAGGGTCTCTGAGCAGCCTGCTGATTCACATGCAGGAAAGGGACACCCTCATGATGGTTGCTCCTGTTTTCTGATTACTTCTCTGTCTGCAGTGGTTTTTTGTCAGCACTTGGGAACTTCCTGGCCCAGATGATTGAGAAGAAGCAGAAAAAAGAAAACTGCTCACTGAATCTAGATGTCAATGGGCCTCTCAGATATGCCATTTATGGGTGAGTGTCACTGGGGCTGGTTTACCCAGGAGGCCGACTAAGTGCCAACAAAGCCAGTACCAAAAACAAATTTTTGAAATAATCTAATTTAAAAAAAATAATTTTTAGAAAAACCACTGAAGTGGTCATTATGGGAAAAATTCAGGATGGTGTTAGAGTTATCTCCACCCATTCACTTATTTGAGAGTTTAATGTGGGTTTTTATTTTTAGTTGGTGGGAGGTGGCTGTCCTAGTTGGGCTGAGAGACAAGGACAGGCAGCTCACTGGAATTTAAAATCAGACATCAAGACTCAAAGGCCCTGAAAACATCTGGGCTCATGGAAGAGAAAAACCGACTCAAACACCAAGTGTGACTAGCTAGTTTCTATTGTTATTTTCATAGTGTAAACCTCCAGAAAATAAAACATAGGTATCCTGAAGAATGTCCCGCTTCTGAACCACTTTCTGAATTGCAAAACCCAGTGATTCAGGAGTTTTACCAGTTAAATCCAACGTGAGCTGTTTTGTCTAACTGTGGTGTTATAGATGGATCATGTTGAAGTCTTCTGCAGCTAGTGAATTTGTAATTCAGTGTTCAAGAAATTCAAAATACAGGGAACAGTAAGTGCAAAGGTCCCAAGGAGGAACAAGCTAATAATGTTGGAGGAGTAGAAAGAAGGTCTGTGTTGCTGAAGTAAATGACAGTGAGCAAGGCTGCTGACTTCAGTCATCACAGTTTTTTCTTAATGTACTTAAAGCAGTAATTCTGCAGAGGGGGAGTGTTTTATAATCACACAGGCGGCTTTATCAAATTACACAAAAGTTTTCACATTCCCAAGATTTCAGTTCGCTTCCCTGTTAAGAATCACTGCTACAGGTCATTTAACATCCTATGGTGGAGTGGGGGGAAAAAAAAATCACTTGTTTAAAGACTATTTCAAAGCCAGAAGTTGAAAGGCCCCTGGGTCCCTCCTCTGCTTTTGTTGCTGAATTGTATGGAGCTGCAGGCTTATTGTCCCAATAGACACAGAGTTCACTTATCTCCCAAGTAGCCTGTACCTTTTGGAATACACACGAGCCCATTGCAGCTCCAGTTTTTATCCTTGCATACCCAAGAGAGTTTAATGAAAAGCTCTAATGCCAGAGATGCATCCCTTTATCACTGAGCACCTTCCAGGAGCCAGACCTTATTCTAGGAACTGGGGATGCAACAGGGAATGAAACAGACACGAACCTGCCTTGTGTCATTTACATTGTAGGGGTGAAAAGAGGGCACTCTGTAACTAAACAGATGAGATAATTATATGTGGTGATAAATGCTATGAATAAAATAAAAGATGGCTCTGGAATACAGTGTGGCTGGAGATGGGTACGTGCATTGGCTAGGACAGTTGGGAAAGGCCTGTATGAGAAAGGTATTGGAGCTGATATGTTGACAAGAGGCTGACCACAAGAAGACGAGGGGGAAAAGCATTGCGAGTAAAGGGAACGGCAAGTGAAAAGGATCCAAGACATGAACAAGTCTGGTCTGTTCAAGGCAAAAAGCAATGCCTGAAGCAGTATCAAAGCATGTTTTCTAGGCCCAAGCATAGTTGGGTAGTCAGTATTGATGGTATATTAGCGAGGTAGGGTTCAGGACCTGGGATTTTGGGTGAAGCTGGACCAGAGAAAAACGTGTCCAGAGAACCACAGTCCAGGTCACACCCAACGCGGGGCTTCAGGTTCTTCTTCACAGGGCCGCTGAGTCACTTCTTCTACCTCTTCATGGAACACTGGATCCCCTCTGACGTTCCCTTGGCAGGAGTCAAGAGGCTCCTCCTGGACCGCCTCATCTTTGCCCCAGCCTTCCTGTTGTTCTTCTTCTTCATCATGAACTTTCTAGAGGTGGGTCTCTGCCATGGCCGCTACTATAGCTCTTCATTTAGGACAGAGATTTTTAATTGTTAGTCTGTATCTCGAAATCTCATTTATGCTCATCACTACTTTGAGATTTTCAGTAGTTACTGGATCTGCCATTAGATCTTATCCTTTAAGGTAAAGAAGCACATGTACTAAAAACCTGTTGCCATCAAGTCCATTCCGACTCATAGTGACCCTGTAGGAGAGAGCAGAACTGCCCCGTAGGGTTTCCAAGGAGCTCCCGGTGGATTCGAACTGCTGACCTTTTAGTTAGCAGCTGTAGCTCTTAACCACTACACCACCAGGGCTCCTCATATACAAGTCTATCTCAAAATTGTTTTCTGAATATTTTGATAAGTGATGTAATTGGTTTCCTTTGTAATCCTGTACATTAAAAGTCATTATCCTGAGAAGGGGTCCATAGGCTTTACCAGAGTGCCAAGGGGATCCACGACACACAAAGTTTAAGCACTTATAATGATATTGCAGAGCCTGTGCCAACGCAGTGCCTGGAACATCGTGAGTGCTCTGGAGAGGTTAATTTACCAGCATAAACTTTGAATCAACTTGCGTGGGAGGGGTGGCCCCGTGTAACACCCTGCATGTCTGTTCTCTGAAATGTGTCCAATCTAAGTCCCCCTTCCTAGTTTACAGTCTTCACCATCTGTGGGAGAAAGGGGGTTGGGTTGTACTGTGTGTCTGAGATGTGTCATGTTCTACTCTGAAAAGTAATTTGTTTCAACTGGTCACACGAGGTAAATGCGTCTCACTCAGGTTGTCTTTGGAAACAGTATCTCAAGTTGTTGTTATTGAGAACACTCCTTGTTTTCTAAAGTGACCCTGGAGGGAATTAGGAAAGATGTTTAAACTTGGATTGCTATTAAGTCCCTGATAGTGAAAAGAAATGTTTGGGAAGTCCCTAGCAAATCAGAGATAGGAAGTCAAGCGTACCACACATTAGAAGTGTGGGGCCACAGGGGTTCCTACTTTTTTTCCTTTCAGATACGAAGGGAATATATTTTCATTAAAAAAAAAAAATTATACATATGAATGCCAAACGTTTCTGAAGTGCATAAAGTAACCCCACCACGCGTGTGCACATACACTTACACACACATACACACAAATGATAAACGTGGGGCCACGCTATATTACATATAAAAAAAGAACAAAAAACAAACCTGTTGCCGTCAAGTCAATTCTGACTCATAACGACCTCGTAGGACAAAGTAGAAAAGCTCCACAGGGTTTCTAAGGAGCTCCTGGTGGATTCGAACTGCCGACCTTTTGGTTAGCAGCCGTAGCTGTATTTACATATAAATATATACATGTATATGTCTTAGAAGAAGTACAGCCAGAATGCTCCTTAGAAGCAAGGATGCGAGACTTCATCTCACATACTTCGGACATGTTTTCAGGAGGGACCAGTCCCTGGAGAAGGACATCATGCTTGGTAAAGTAGAGGGTCAGCGAAAAGGAGGAAGACCCTCAACGAGATGGATTGACACAGTGGCTGCAACAGTGGGCTTAAACATAATGACTGTGAGGATGGCGGAAGACCAGGTGTTTCATTCAGTTGTACATGGGTCGCTATGAGTCGGAACTGACTCCAGGCACCTACCACCACCACTGGCGACGTGTCTGTATCCTGCAGTTTTTGATCATAGACATAGGCTGCACAGCATTCCATTGTGTTATACCTGTATCTGTTGTGTAAGGGTTCTTGTTCAATTCGTAGAGTTGTTCTCCAGAAAGACTGGACTCGTCTGTGCTCACACCAGTGGTGTATAATAATAGCTAACATTTATTGAGCACTCGTGTAATCCTCACAACACTTCCTCCAGTGAGGTTTACTTCCCCATGCTCTTGACCTGTGATATTATTTTTGTTGTAAATAATTTGTAATTTAATAGGTGAAAAATAATTTAGATATCTTTATTTACAAGGTTGAATACCTTTTACATGTTTATCTGCTGTTTCTATTTCTTCAGTGAACTTTGCTTATTTTCTATTGGAGTGTTTGCTTTTTTCTTTCTGATATGTAAGACCCCTTTATATATTAAGGATATCAATCCTTTGCCAAAAACAGGCTGCAAATATTTTCCCCATTTTTTTTAGTTTGCCTTTTAACTTCATATAAAGTTATGTAAATAAAATCATTTATAGTATCTTTCTCTGTATAGAAGTTTTTAAAATTCATGTATTCAGATCTGCCAGTCTTTTTTTTTTATGGGTTTCCTTAAAGGAAGATAATGGAAATAATCTCCAATACTTTCTTTTACTTTTATGGTTTTATTTTGTACATCTCGATATACCCAAAGATAATAGAAATATTTCCTATACTTTTTTCTCATATCCTTATGGTTTGTTTATAGTTGGCGGTTCTGTCTTGATTTTTTCCACTTAGCAAATTGTCTCATTACTGTTTATTTAGCAATCTCTGTGTTTTGGAATGTTGACTTTATCCTATCCTCATTTCCATATGTACAGATCTCTTCTTTTGCTGGATTCTATTAATTTCCATTGATGTGTCCTCTTTTCCCCCGTCACTCCCAGACTGTTTTAATTACCATTATTTTATGGTATTTTTGTTATCAAATAAGGTAGGCCTTTCTTCATTCTTTTTCAGAATGGCTATTCCTGTGGATTTATTCTTCCAGATGACATTTAAGAATCTATATGTCAAGGTCTGTTTTTTAAAAAGTCCCCACAAATTTTGATTGGAAATGCCTCAACTTTGGAGATTAATTTGGAAAGAATTGACAGCTAAGCCACTAGCAGATTTGGTGCCAGGGCCAGCAGCATGAATCACACCATCAGAGCAGCTGTGTAAAGCAGTGTTGAGGGTCGCGGACAAACGCTGCCCTCAGGGTGAGCAGCCTGCTGCCTCCCTGTTCTAACTAATGATTTTGCCAACTAGATGGTTAGCTCCTTATATGTGCACTGCTCATAAAGTACATCTGTGCATTGTCTGCTTATAAGTGGAACAAAATAAAATGCTACAGTCTGGTTTTTTAATCATGGTGTTAGGGTTTGGGGGCCTTCAGATTTTGGTGCCCTGGCTTACAGTTCTGATCAACAGTGGGGTTTGCTCACCATCTGTATTTTCCATTGTTTTTAGAGAAAAGACATGGCTGCCTTTTCTGCTAAGATGAGAAGAGGTTTCTGGCCAGCGCTGCAGATGAACTGGAAAGTCTGGACACCACTCCAGTTCATTAACATCAACTACGTCCCTCTGCAGGTAGGGGCCAGCCCGGCCTTTTGCCCAGAGGCCCAGAGATTGTGGGTTCCTTCTCCACCAAAGATACTTTTCTATCAGCTTTCTCTGTGTTCTTTCACCAGTCTGCAGTTTTCCTTGAGTCTTGGTTTTGCATAGATGTTGGAGTTAAAGTAAAATCATAAAAATGGAGAGGCTTCCAATAATTTTAGTAGTAACACTTATCAGTGAACTTCACAGGAACAATTTCAGTGGATCGGTAGGGGCTGAAGCCAGATGGCAGTGAATTCAGGAGTGAATGGGGAAGTAAAAAAGAAGACATCACGAGTATGGAAAAATTCTTGCGAGAAGTTTGTGAAGAGATGGGGAGAAACAATAGGTAGAAGAGAGTGTGAGGTGGAGTAGAATGTCTTTAGGCTAGGAGAAGTGTGACCATTTTTAGATGCAGATGTGGAGCTGCTTGTGGGATGGGCAAAAAAGAGAGACAGTTTTGTGGAGTGCTGTCCCTAAAGAGGCAGGCAGGATAGCATTCCGAGCATAAGCAGAGATGTGCTTTAGACAGAGAACCCCTTCTTCCACAGGAGAGAGAGAAGATAAGTGTAAGTGGGGTGCTGGGAAGGTGAGTGGGGTATCTCCCACTTCCCAGCGGGCTGTCTGACTCACATGTGTTCTCTTTGGCAGTTCCGGGTACTTTTTGCCAACCTGGTGGCTCTGTTCTGGTATGCCTACCTGGCCTCTCTGGGCAAGTGAAGATGGCCTGGGAAGAACCATCAGAAGCACTACAGATGTTGGTCTGGGGAGGCATCTTCACCTAGCAGGTGTTTGAGAACAGAATCAAAACTCAGGAATTTATCTGAGTTTAAATCATACTACCCAAGAGGCGCTAAAATGATGGATAACGCAAAAGCCAAACCCATTGCCGTCGAGTCAATTCTGACTCATAGCGACCCTATAGGATAGAGAAGAACTGCCCCATAGTTTCCAAGGAGTGCCTGGTGGATTTGAACTGCCGACCTTTTGGTTAGCAGCCATAGCTCTTAACCACTACACCACTAGCGTTTCCAAAATGATGGATACAGAAATAGAAGTCTCTTCACGGTGGAATCGTGTGTTTTGAAAAGGCGGTAGCTGATTCTAAATGGTGCTGTCCTTGAAACGTAAAACATAGTAGAGATGATTTCGGTCATCACTGTGGACTGAATCAGGATCACAATAAACTGTAAGGTAGCTTCTTTAGTGGTCATTTTAATTTCTCAGAATGGTGGTTGTAACTTTGGAAGAAATGTGTGGTCAGAGAGCTGCTCTCAAATTTAAAAAGAACTGCTTTTTCATTTCCGAATACATGGGGGTGGGGTGTACTAGTTCCCAAAAGGAAGACATTTAGGGCAGATGGAAAGTAACCAATGTCTCCTACAATTGATGTGGGTGGTGATGACTCCAGCTCTAACCTGTCAAGTTACAATGAATTCCACTCCAACCCCAGCCTGACAGAGGATGAAGGATTGGGACCTCGGAGAGATTTTAATTATTTTCTGTGATCAGTCAGTATTAACTGACATCCGCTGCAGGTTTACTTTGTGCCCCCCCCCCCGCCCCTATTTTAAGAGCATCACATGAGTCAGCTTTAGTTAATCCTCACAGCAATTCTGTGGCCAGGTACCTTTATTCTCCCCATTTCACAAATGGGGAAACTGAGGCAAGAACACTAGTGAGAGATGGATCTGGGATTCAGACGCAGTCAGTCCACCTCTCAAGCTACCATGGTCACCACCTTATCACATGCCCTCAGAACGACAGGGTAAAGTCAGAATGGAGAGAACTTTGAGGTGGATTTTTACTTTTCTAAGTACTCTGAATACCCATTCCTGGCCTATCATTCACCCTGTTCGTTCAGCAACGTTTACTGAGTGCTGCCAGGCACGTGGTCAGGGGCAGAGTGCAGACCTCACCCACCTGAGCATTTACCAGTGACAGAAGAACAGCCAGGAGTGGGGGAGGACGGAAGAGCGGCCAGCACTGCTGAAGGCCATCTCCAGCGGTGTGTGGGAAGCGGGTAGAGCAGAGAACCTCTTTCTCTGCTTTCCTCAGGCCAGAAAATGCCAGTCAAAGGTGACATACAATGACAAATTTCACTTGGGATACGGAGGATCAGGTTTCTTAGAGAAGAGACAAATGACACGATTTCTAAGCAAAGGGCTTGGAGCAGCGGATTAAGAGACACTACACGTTCTTCCTCGTGCAGACGTGCAGCTGTCTTTCCTTTGAAAAGGCACACAGACCCGCTCGTGCTCTAGAGTAAGATCGTGGTCTCAGTCGGTTATCCCACCCGCTTCCAAGAGAAGGGAAAGCTGTTAGCCGATGTAACCGCCCAGATCTTCCCATGGCGGCTCCTTCTCATCCTCGGGTGTGGGCTCAGGGGTCACCTCCCCAGTGCATCTTCCCATCACTCTTTCCTGCTTTGATTCCTCACCATCCGGTAGAGTACAGCGCTTACTTATTTTCTTCTGTCTCCCTCGTTGGCACGTGAGCTCCCCGTCTCCTGTCCACTGCCGCATCCCGGCACCCAGAGCAGCGCCGGCCCCACCGCTGGCGCTCAGGACTCTTGCTGACCACAGGAATGAAGGACTGTGAATCAAGGGACTGCTGCAGAACGTCATGGGAAGGGTCTCTCTAAAAATCAGCCGCGCCACCCAGGGACGCCCACGCCTCCTCCCCTAAAAGAGGCCTGGGCCGGGGCAGAGAGATCCCAGCGGCCACCGCGCCCGGAGGCGGGACTTCCGTCGCTGCACGCTTCCGCCGCGTCGGCCAGGAACGAAACCCGCCCGGAAGTATCTCACCGGCGGCGCGCCGTCTGCGCCTGTTGTTGGCACCTGTGGGTCGCCGCGCGTGGGAGCGGGCGAACATGGCGTTCCGGCAGGCGCTGCAGCTGGCGGCCTGCGGGCTGGCCGGCGGCTCGGCCGCGGTGCTCTTCTCGGCGGTGGCGGTGGGGAAACCGCGCGCGGGCGGAGACGCGGAACCGCGAGCATCCGAGCCGCCGAGTTGGGCGGTAGGCGCGCGCCCGTCGCCTAGTGTCTGGGATCCCAACTGGGACAGGTGCGCGCCGGGCCCGGGCGGGCGGGTGGCTCGGGGCTCAGGCCGCCGGGCATCGCGGGGATCGGACCTTTAAACTCTTCGCGGGCGTTGTTAGTTCCAAGTTCAGGTTTCTGGTGCATTCAGGAAAATTCACACGAAAGCTTTCCAGTCGCGCTCTGTTCCCCACCCCCGCCGTAGGAAGAATGTTCCGCCTGACTGCTCACTCAGGACCTGATTGCTATTCTTTGTGGGTTTTATGTTGTCAGTTTTTGCAAGAGGAACCGAGGAGACTGGCTTACATGTGGATTTCTCCTTCTGGTTGTGGTCCGAATACTCGCTGTGTGATCTTGTGCGCGTCAGTCCTGAACCCCTCTGAGCCTCAACTTCCTCATCTGTAGTAAGGGAAAGAGGGGTGTCTGTCTTCTCGGGTTGTTTTGGGGAGCCAGTAAAATGCTAGGACAGCGCCTAGCTTAGGAAGCCTCAGACGGTGATTTTTAGTCCTGGACGGAGGGCGTGGAGGGCTCCGAAGGGCTGTTGTCCTTGTTCCCTTCTCTTCATCTTCTTAATCCGCAAATTGATGACAGAACTTTGCTTCAAAACGGAGAGAAAAGAGTTGGATGTCAGCACCCAAAGAATGATGCATGCTGGAATGATGATCAGGGCCTTAGAAGGGACTCCGCTGTTAGCTGTCGTGGAGTCCACGGGACTCATGGGGACCCCATGCATAGTGGGACTATAGTTATCCATAGGGTTTTCATTGGCCGATTTTCAGGAGTAGATCACCAGGCCTTTCCTCCTAGTCCATCTTAGTCTGGAAGCTCTGCTGAAACCTGTTCAGCATCAGAGCAACAGGCAAGCCTCCAATGACAGACAGGTGGTGGCTGTGTGTGAGGTGCATTGGCCGGGAATCGAACCAGCATGGGAGGCGAGAATTCTACCAGTGAACCACCAGTGTCCCCAAAAGGGACTCGTAGGAGGGATCAGTGTGGACCCATTTCAGGACATGGCTATCAGGCGTCACTACAGCCAGCAATACTGTAGCCACCGACCATTATTGAGCACCTTAGATGTGGCTCTGCGATTAAGGAACAGAATTTAAAATTTTATTTAATTTTAATTGAAATTGAAAACCAAAGCAGTACAAATTTTTTACTATTATGTGTTGAAATAATATTTTTGATATATTGGGTTAAATAAAAGGTATTATTGAAATTTTACTTATTTCTTTTTACCTTTTTAACGTAGCTATTAGAAAATTTTAAATTACACGTGTTGCTTGTGTTATATTTCTATGGACAACGCTGCTCTAGAGGCAGAAAGTAGCCAGTGTGGAGTGGTTCACCTGGTCTTAAGTCCTCACAGCATTTGATACTTCACTCCCAGGGAAGGAGCACTTAACACATACTTACTGCTAGATGAGTTGTCGGGAATTTCATAGGTACTTTTTTCTTTTTTTTTTTTTTATAGACAAAGTATTTTAGAGTACCTTTAGATTTACAGAAAAATTGCGACATTAGTACAGAGAATTTTCATATACCCCACACCTAGTTCTATTAACATGTTACACTAATATGGTATCTTTGTCACAAGTAATGGACCAGTGTGCTCCATCACGTTACCTACTTTAGTTTTCCCTGTATCATTTATGACTGTCCGACATTGTCTTGTTTGCCTTTTGCTGTTTATTATCCATCTCTCTCTACTAGAACATAAGTTGTACAAGGGCTTAGCTTGTCTAATTTTTTTTGTTTTTCAGTTGTACCACCTAGAACAGGCCTGGCACTTAACTGTTTGTGGGATGGCTGAGTGGGGATGTGCTCGAGGAGGCTGGAATCTCCTGGGCTGATGGAAGGGACACCACTAGGTGGTCGAGCGCAGACACCACTAGGTGGTCGAGCGCAAAGTGCCAAGAACCTCTGCTCTCTTAAAATCTGAAAGGTTGCTCTTCCTAATTAGAGAATACCATCTTGTCAGAAATACTCAAAGGTGGCTTACAAACAGGTCACAGGACACACCCATCTTAAATTCAACATTAGGCGAGAACCACTGTCTCTCGTCAATCTGCGGAAAAGGAACCTGGAGTCTGGAGAAGAAGAACTGGCGTCCAAGCTGGATCACTGCAAAGCAAAGGCCACGCGGCACATCTTCCTCATCAGGCACTCTCAGTACCACGTGGATGGCTCCCTGGAGAAGGAGCGGACTCTCACTCCACTGGGTACGTGGGCTGGGGCTTGGGCATGCCTACTTAACGCCACTGGCCATCTCTCCTTAGAGATGCCCATGGGGTCCTGTGCCTCCTTAAATCCCTGTCAGGGACTTAAGTCCCAGACTCAAATGTTGTAATTATCAGTACAGCCTAACTCTGACTTGAGACAGGCTTTTAAAAATGCCCTTAACTTTAAAAAAAACTTAGGATGAAATCTCACTTGCTTATGATCAGATTCAGTGCATACACAAGCAGATGTGTTATATATTCTCCCTTCTGTGCTTTTGGAAGGTAGCATACGTTGCACACGGAAGTTTCCTTTTTAATTTGATATGCTTGATCCTTCTGTTCAGCATGTACACACCTGTCTGTTTAGCATCCATGCTGTAGACTCTTCAGACAGACCAGACTGGTTTTAGAGAGTTGAATGGTCCCTGCAGGTCAGTGTGACGGTTGTCCCCAGTGTCTTGCTGCCGGGAGCGCCCTCCCTCTGTCTCTGTGCTCATGTGCAAGTGTATCGGGAGGGGACATCCCTAGAAAAGGAAACGCAGGGGGGGTCTCAGGTGGAGCTTAAGCTTTTAATTTTTTTTTTTTTTTGATGAGATGTTTCCCACTTGTGTGCATTTTAAAAAATTCAGACAGTAAAAGGGGTCTACAGGCCTGTTTTCCACCCAACCTGTTCCTCCCTCCCTAGGCATGATCCCATTCTGGCTCCTTGTGTCCAAAATGGGTTTTGAAACTGGGAAGCAGCATATGTGAGTGTCAGTGCATCCAGTGGAAACCAACTGACTGTGGCCTTTTAAGCCGCATTCTCAGAATATATTTGAGAAGAAGCACTTGTATTTGTATTCAGTCTCTGCTTGGTAACACTGGGATCTTAAGGTTGTTAATGTATTAAAATTTGTAATGACTGCATAGTTGGTGGGTCATAGGTGGCGTTCAGACTTGATTTTTGGACATAGCTGGGTAAGAATGACGTAAGTAACTCCACTCAAACAATTACCAACTTTGGTCACTGCGGTTGCTGGAATCAGATACTTTTTTCTCGATTTGGTGGCCGAAAGAAAACCAGACAATCTTGTTGATTTTCCCTGTTTGTGACTGCCTCCCCCAGCAAAGCCCAAGCTCCACAAGGTCGGTCACTTGCCTGTCTTGTACCCCTCCCTAGAATGGTGGCTGCTGCTCACTGTGAGCTTAAATGTGTGTGAAAGAAACATGGATCCAGATACATGTCATTCTAAAGGGTATTTGAACTTCAAGGTCGTGAACAGGCTGAACTAACTGGCCTCCGACTAGCAAGCCTGGGGTTGAAGTTTGACAAAATTGTACATTCCTCCATGACGCGAGCCATAGAAACAACAGACATCATCAGCAAACACCTGCCAGGTGAGTCCTAGCACCACGTGCTCCTGTGTGGCCACGGGTGAAATCTTAGCTCTCACGTGTTAGGATAAAGCTTACAATTAGGAACCAGAAGGTAACCGAGTGGGGTCTGCCTGAAGGAGCTGTTGTACCTGTGCTGCCAACGCCTCGGGGCCTTATTGTGCTTCTCTCCAGGGGTGTGCAGAGTCAGCACCGACCTGCTCAGGGAAGGCGCCCCCATTGAGCCTGATCCACCTGTATCCCACTGGAAGCCAGAAGCTGTGGTAAAACCCCACATCCAGCGTGGGGGTGTTCCTCCTCCCCAGGCCAGCAGACCGCGTCCCCTCTGCTTCCCCTCCCAGCCCTGGGGTCCCTCAGTCCCTGGAGCTCATCGCCTTTCTGCACAGTAGCTGCTGGAAGACTGGCGTGATGACTCCTTTCCTAATGTGCCTCAGCGGGTGTCTGCGTAGCTTTCCTCTCACACTTACGATTCCTTCCTGTGTCCCCAGCAGTATTACGAGGACGGAGCCCGGATTGAGGCCGCATTCCGGAATTACATCCACCGGGCAGATGCCAGGCAGGAGGAGGACAGTTACGAGATCTTCATATGTCACGCCAACGTCATCCGCTACATTGTGTGCAGGTGAGGGCACCGGGCCCCTCCTCGCGCTGTGAGGCGGTGCCGCACCTTCTGGGCCACTAGGAGCCAGGGCCCTTTGTTTTCTAACTTTCTACTTTGAAACAAGTGCAGACTTACAAAAAAATAACGAAAGTCATACGGAAAGTTCACGTGTACCCCCCCCCCCAGCTCCCCCTAATGTTAATAACTTGCATACCGGGAAATTTAGTGTGGTGCAGACACTACTGAATTGCGCGCCTATTTGAGTGTCACCGGGTCTCAATGCCCACGCTGGGTCCAGGACCCGTGTTGTGTTCCATCATCACGCCTCCTCGGGCTTTTCCAGTTGGGACGGGCCTCGCCATTCCTCTCGTGACCCAACACTTCTGACGAGTCCTAGTCGTGCAGCTGGTGGAATGCCTTTCAATTTGGTGTTTTCTCGTGATTATGCGTTTCTGACAGGAAGATGCACAGGTGATCGGCCTGCTCAGGGGATTGTGTCGGCGTGGCCCCACGGTGCCAGCCGGGATCACTCAGGTGGGGGTGTCTGCTGGGTTCCTCACTGTGAAGTTACTGTTTTCCCCTTTGGAATTGGTAAATATCTCGGAGAGAGAATTTAAGACTGCTGATCTCATGGTTCCTCAAACCTTCGTCTGTTGACTGCAGCATCCTCCATGGGTCCTGCTGCAGCAGTCTCCACAGTGGTATTGGTCCAGGCTGGTTTGGTGTTTCCCTCATCCCATCTTTGCTTAATGAAAATTCAATAAGGAAGAGCTGTTCTTTATTCTCCATTTATTTTTTCTATTATTTGAGTCAGTAGATTCATGGGTATAGATGTTCTAGTTTCTGGGTTATAATCTAGTACTGTTATTTTGTTGCTTAGAATGCTCCAGCCAGCTCTTTGACAAGTCCTGTCCTGAGAATGGAAGGATTTGACCTGTACTCTCCTGGCCCTGAGACAGAGGCCTTCTTACTTTGGGGTTGCTGTTAAACTTTGCCAAGACCCTCACCCTACTCCCCGGCCCCAGGTGGTGGGAAGAGTGAAGAAATATTAAACAGCTTCCTCTGCACGGGGACGAGGAACAGTGGTCTCACCCGCTCTTTCACCTGCTTTTTCTCTTCCCTCAAGAGCGCTGCAGTTTCCACCCGAAGGCTGGCTCCGTCTTTCCCTCAACAACGGCAGCATCACCCACCTGGTGATCCGACCCAATGGCAGGGTTGCGCTAAGGACCCTTGGGGACACGGGGTTCATGCCTCCGGACAAGATCACTCGGTCCTGAGGGCTGCACCACAGGCACCCCCTGGGCGGCGGCTGCTAGACCCTCCTGCCGTCAGCGCGGGTGCCACGAGCACGTGGGTTTCTGCCCTCCTCCCTACACAGGCTGCATTTCAGTTACATTTTTCTCGAAAGCAGCCAGCAGAAAGAACTGTCTGAAGCGCTGTGTTCCAGTACTTGCCTCTGGCCCAGGATGATCAGGGAACGTTACCGCCGGAGACCCAGGCCACCCAAGGTGTCCCCTTTCTGTGATCTGAGAGAGGCCCTGGGTGGAAGCTGGCCCGTCTGGTGTCCTCACTGCAGATGGGCCCATGCACAGCCCCCACTGAAGGGTCTTTCATTGTGACAGCACCAGCCATGGCCCACCCACCTTGTGAGGCACACGGGGACGGTAGGAGGGTCACTCACAGAACAGTGGTGGCCCCTATTCTTGTTCACAGCTCATTTCTCTTCGCACTTTTTCATTCTGTAAAACCCGTTTGTCACTTAAAAGATATTTTCCTCATCTAGGTTCTTGCTTCGAAAGCCAGTTTCTTACTCCAGAGTCACAGATCCCTGAAGTGGTGGGTGGGTCTGAACATACCTGCTTTGTTAGACCCTTGGGGGTGTGAGGACCTATGCACTGACTAGGACACCCGGGGGTTGGGGTGGGGACATGCCAAGGCTGCCCACCACCGTGCTGGTCCCGTGGAAGAGGCCATGGGGAGTTGCCCCTCGTGCTCACGATGTGCCAGCATTTAACACTGGCTTAGTGACAGGAAATCACATGTAATAAACCAACAGCATTTTAATATCCTAGACTGCAGGGTTAGCCTTCGTTTGCCTATGGTTATTGCTAATTTTTTATGTTTATGGATTAAAGTGTTTAAAGTATTTAGACATGACGTGTCTATCCCAAATATTGTTAATTTAGAAAAACTACAATTTCTATGAACTGGTTATGAACATTTTCTGCAATCATGCAACTAATTGGAATATTTGATCCATTTGTCAACTTTGGAAGTAATTACATAATAAAATTTTATTTTACCTTTTTTTATTGGCATAAGTACCAATTGTGCATATTTTTAAGAAACCAGGAAGCCTGTACAGAGTCTGACAAGGGCGGCCTGGAGTGTTACGGGAGCGGCCGTAGCAGGAACTGTTTCCCAGTGTCCCTGTGCTGAGCCCAGCGTGTTGCTCCCACCGGCCCTGCTGTGAGGGTGGCTCTCCCCGTGAAACAGAAGGGCGTGTCTTCAACAGCCCAGCCGGGAACAGGAGGGCACAGTGCCCCTGAGCAGTGTTGATGCTGTATCATAGAAGGGGAGTGGCCGCATGTTAATTTAAACACTGGTCTCTGAAAGCTGCTTGTGTTTCTGGGAGCAACGAAAAATTAATAAAGAGGATTTGTTTGTGGTCTTAAACTGGCCCCACCTTGCCACAGGGTTGTGGCGCTCCCCCTATGAACAAGGAGGAACTTTTTAGTATATCCTTCATATCCTCGTCCCAGAAGAATTCATTATAAAAGAAGAATGACACTAAGTACATCAGATCCCCACCCTCCCTTCACTACGGCAGATTGTACTTGTTAAACCACCTCTTGAATGGAAGAAATTAAATGACCAATCAATCTACAAAAAAGGCTTTCCCACATCTAAGTGTGCTTACAAAATCTGTGCTAGCTTAGCTGATGCCAGAAATGGTTTGTCACAGTTGTTCTGTTAGAAAAAGAAAGGGCTAAGAGCAAATAAACCACTGTCTGGTTACTGCGCTGCCTCGTCAAAATACTGCTCAAGATTTTACTAAAAGGGTATGTTCTACTGAAGCACAGGTAAGAGAAATTTTTCTAAAAGCTTAGGATGATTACTATGTGATTTTTAAAATAACGTACTTCATTTAGTAGTTTTAAAAAGAGCAAAAATAGCCCTTGGACCGGCGTCTCCATTTTTTTCCACGTCTGCCCACAGCCTGTACAAAGGAGAAGTAATCAAAGGCGGCCCAAACCACTGAAAGCTGAAGACCAGCAATCTGAGAAGTTAAGGCAAAAATTTTTAATTACCATCTAAATATTTACAGTATTACGTAGGACAGTGTGGTCAGACTTTTCAGCAGACAGATCATCACTGGGGATATAATTATCTGTATTCTGATCTCTTTGGGAACAAAGGTGACTTGTTAATAAAATGCCAGTGTTTCTAGGAGTGGAATCCATTGTTTGTCTTGTATCTCGACTGCTACACAACGAATGGAAAAACCCTGTGTGACCACCTTTTGAATCTTAAAATCTACATTTTGATTCCAGTGTTCAGGACCTGTCTCTTGGCGTCTTGTGAGAGAAATATGCTTTTTTACATAAATTTCAACGAATTTTTACAAAGGAAAAATAATCTCACTTATGCCTACTTAGTATCACTGAATATTCTCAAAAAGCAAGTTCAGAAAAATTAAAATGATTTACAAAAGGCACTGAAGTTACAAAAGCACTGGTTCCATTTCTCATTTTGAATCAAACACTGAAAATGTTCACCAGAACAGGCTGTGTAAGAGCAATCACTTTGTATCACCCAGGGAGACAGCCAGTCTTCGGGCGTTAACGGTGCTCGCGTGCGCCTCCTGCTCTTCAAGCACCCTGTGTGATGGGCCCTTCTGGACCGTCACCCAGGGGAAAGGTTAGAACGTGGACTCAAACAAACCCTGGTAAAAACGCCTCTCTACTTTTGTCTTCAGGGACTCCTCAGAATGAGTTTTAAAACCAGGGAAAAATTGGAGGCTACTTTAACATGGCCCCACTGGCAGCCAAAGCAAGCGACCTGGGGCTCAGGTGCTGGTGGAACAAAACACCTTCAGTTACTGCTGGAGACTCCTGCCGGATAATCTGTCCATAGCTGGAAGGTTTCTTCAGGAGAAAAGCAAGAGTTTATCTGCCAATCAATAATTTAAATGTTTTTAATGACCTACACTGTAAACATCACGCAAGTCTAGGATACATTCAGGGTTCTCGTTTCTTTGCTCTTCCCTGTCTACCGTCTTGATTTGTCTAACCAGCTGGGATCAGCTGGCAATCCAAGACAGGATTTTTCTGTCACGTCCAACAGCTCAGAACACTCTTGGGAGGGCAGCGTCAGCGCCTTGTCTCTGTCCCATCTGAAAACTAAGAATTGCTGACTGAAACGTCATCACCACAGTGACATCTTCCAGGAAGCTGGTATCTGATTTCAACTTCTCCCAAAATTTCAGAACTCTAACCTGAATACAGAAAAACATTTTAGTTTTTTAAAATTCTTTTACCTTCAAGATGAGGATCAATAAACTAATCAGAATATTTGTGTTGTTCAGTGATAAACAGACCGCTCTTCTCTTTCTAACATGAAGGTGCTTGATCTTACAGGGCCGCCAGCTCGGCCAGGCGAGCCATTCTGCGGAGGTGGCTCCCGTGCACGGGGCTATACCGCCCGGGGCTGCCCATGCCGGGCAAGTGCGGGGAGACGCTGGGCTTCCCAGGGCTGCCGGTAGCAGGTCCACATATTCCTGAGCTGCAGCTGTGGGCAGAACCAAGAGCCGGCCACTGAGACTTGAACTTTCCTTTCAACGCAGGGCTCGGCCAACTAGGGAAACCAAGAGAGGTGTGTTACCACAGTTGCACATGTCTGGAAGTAAACAAGGAGCCAGTGAGTGAGGAGGGGGTGAGGGGCAGGGGGATGAGAGACAGGTAAATGAGGGGCAAGGTGGATGAAGGGCAGGTAGATGAGGGGCAGGGGGGTGATGGGCAGGGAGTGAGGGACAGGTAGATGAGAGGCAGGTAGTGAGCGGGCAGAGCAGAAGCAAAGGGCTGGGGACCTGGGCTTGTGCGTCCAAGCCCGGGAGGGACACCTTTCAGCCCACAGCAATGACCTGGTCACCAGCAGCATTTCCAAACCCGGATCTCTGCCTCTTCAAGATCCATAGGATTGGAAAGTAAAATGGTGATCAGGACTCCCTGTGAACTCCGTGTGCCCAGCATGCAAACTCGCTGTCCAGCAGCAGTCTGTGGGGAGCCTCTGCTCTGTCCACAGCACCCGCGAGTCAGGGCCTCCCACAACCCCAGGCCATCGGGCTGCCCTGCGCTTGGCGGAGAGGTTCAGCCAGTGTGGCCTGTGAGACCTTAATCTGCCAGGGGCTAGAGCTCACACGCTGACCGTCCCAGAGCTTGCTGGGCCTGCCGTACCTCTGTCTGTCTGACGGTGAGTAGGCCAGCACGGCGCCCTTCCACCTGAGGACAGCCGGGTACTGATGAGGATCAATGTCTGCATGCTCTAGGGCAGCCAGCACGTCCCGGTCCAGTTTCGATGGCTCTCCTCTAGAATACATGATAACAGGAACAAGAAAAGAGCAAAAAAATCTGATTATAAAACAAAGACCTCCAGAACACCACTGCATTCCTCACTTGGGACACAAGCATGCCCAAAACAATGGGGTGACTGCTCTAGCCTGAGCAATGTGGCATCAGTGTGTGGGGCTCCAGGGTCCACTGGTGTGTCCACTCTACAGTCACTCACTCCCAAAGAACAGGCATCAGGAGGGCCGTCTGGTCCAGGGAGGGGAGGGGCTCGAGGCCAGGGTGACAGACAAGGAATCCCTGCTGCAGGTGTGGGGAGGGGCGCCCTGGGTCCCTCACCAGCAGGATTCAGTGAGAGTTTAACTGAGGGCAGTCAGCACCAGAAGTGGAAGGCTTCATGTCAGCTGGGGGCTGAGAAGGAGCCGTGACTGTTTTTCTTTCCTGATGCAAATTAAGACTCAGTCACAACTAGAAAGTAGACAAGAATTATCTTAGGTGAAGGGAAAGACAGCACACACTATAGGTGAAGTCAGCACAACTGGACTAAACCAAAGCTAAGAGGTTTCCTGAATACAACCAAACACTTCGAGGGACAGAGTAGCAGGGGTGGGGGTCTGGGAACCATGACTTCAGGGGAGATCTAGGTCAACTGGCATAACAAAATTTTTTAAGAAAATGTTCTGCATCCCACTTTGGAGAGCAGCCATCCAAGATCCATCAATTGGTCCCAACCCACCTGGAGTAAAGGAGAATGAAGAACACCAAAGACACAAGGAAAGTATTAGCCCAAGAGACAGAAAGGGCCACATAAACCAGAGACTTCATCAGCCTGAGACCAGAAGAACTAGATGGTGCCCCAGCTACGACCAAGGACTGCCCTGACAGGGAACACAACAGTCTCTGACGGAGCAGGAGAAAAGAGGGGTGCAGAACTCAAATTCACATAAAAAGACCAGACTTAATGGTTTGATTGAGACTGGAGGGACCCCGAAGTCATGGCCCCCAGATTCTCTGTTAGCCAAAAACTAAAACCATTCCCGAGGCCAACTCTTCAGACAAAGATTAGACTGGACTGTGGGATATAAAATGATATTCGTGAAGAGTGTGCTTCTTAGCTCAAGTAGACAGACGAGACTAAACGGGCAGCTCCTGTCCGGAGGCGAGATGAGAAGGCAGAGAGGGTCAGGAGCTGGGTGAATGGACACCGGAAATCCGGGGTGGAAAGGAAGAGTGTGCTGTCATAGTATAGGGAGAGCAATGAGGGTCACAAATCAAGATACATATAAATTTTTATATGAGAGACTAACTTGAATTGTAAACTTTCACTTAAAGCACACACACACACAAAAAAAAGTCACTCTGGTGGCATTTGCCTTCCCATGAGGTGGAGAAGCAGAAGCCTTGTTATCAGCGGTTAGAAAGCTGGCGCAGCCCATCTACCAGGCACTGGAAGGAATACTCACAAGCTAGAAACTAACCCCAAAGAGAGGTGGGAACTACGAGTCCATCAAATTGTGGAAAAAAGAAAAGACTTAAGGGCCTAACGAGCAGCACCCCACGCACCCATTGCAGCATCACCCTCCTACCCAAGCAGGAAGAGCCTTGTGGTCAGCTCTGAGGAAGCAGGGCAGGCCGGTGCAGACTGGAGCTCAGGGTCGCAGCTGCGTGGAGCCTCGTGCCCGGGACTGTCGGGATCCAGCGACACTTCAGCAGTTTCGGCTGATATTTGATTTTCTGTCCTTACTTGGTTACTCTCAGTTTTTTCTGCAGCAGAAGCAGGTTCTAACAAATCACTTCCCACTGAGTTCATTCTTGAAGTCACAATTATCTTATCTTTAGTTTCTATGTTATTTGATGTCTTACAAAAGCTACTTCCCAGAGTCTGCAGATTTAGTTTGTCAAACTCAACAGTTAAGTTGGAGACCGGTGACAGAAGGGAGCCCTCCCTACAGTGGGGCATTGGCCTCTTCCCCCTTCGGGGCCTGGCCTGACTCAGAGGACTGCAGAACCCGTTTCTGCCATCACATGTGCCACTCGCATCCAAGCTGTCTGTGAGGTACGTGTCCTGCCCCACAGGGAGAATGTCGCACCCTGTGTCTCCGAAGGCCCCGGCAGGGGGCTGGCTGGCACTCCGAGCTGCGTTTTGCCAATTCTTAATTTCTTCCAAGCTCATGTCCTCGTCTTCATCTAGAAATGCCCTCACGGAAATGGAGTTGCTGCACTTTTTACCACCACCTGTGAGCAACACAAAGAAGGACCTGAGAGGCCTGAGTACCAGAACCCAGGGACTGTGAGCGTAACACTGTGACTGCACTCCTCAAATGCACTCTGCAAGTTCACGTGACCCTGGCAGCCAGTTAGCCTTTACGTCAAAACCTTGCACATCAGATTTCAAGAGAGAAAACCATGGCACGCCTTCTTGGAGAGAGGCACTGGATTAAAAAGTGAGCAGGTTCTGCAACAGGACCCAGAACACTTCCTCCCTGCAGTCCAAATAAAAGGGACATCCAGGCTGAGCATGCGCCCCAGCGTGGGGTGACCTGCGGGGACCCCCAGCCACCCTCGGCTCCATCTGCTGGATTTGAGGGCACCGAGTGAGTGATACCCTGCAGGGACCTGAAAGACCCTCAAGACCAATTCCACGAGGTGGAACTGGTGCAGGTCTCACCCCAGCCGCACTCACAGGGGCACAAAGGAGTGCGTCGGAGAGCACTACCCAAGAGGATGCTCTGTGAAGGCAATGGTCTCTGTGCTGTCCCAGACCGTGGCCAACGAGCCCTTGAAATGGGACTAGAATGACTGAAGAATTCACTTTAATATCAACTAATTAAATCTAAATTAAACACGGGACCCCACATGGAACACATAGCTTTAGAGACAAAATGAAGTCACTTTACATAGTGAAATGACCTGTGTAAGTTCTCTAACTTCTAGCCCAGCCTTTACACCTGACACTCTTCTTTTCTCATCCACTAACCGAGCTTATGATGAGCATTCCGCACTACAAAACTGATTTTGTACTTTTATTATAAAACCCAAAAGTATGCACCAACGTCAGCTATACGTAACACGTAAAGTCAGGTTTAGATCTCTGATAACAAATATCAACAATCACATGAATTTATCTCTAGCTCCACATTCTACATCCCTAGGGACTTTTCTAGGCTTCTTCCTTCTTAATGTGCATCTGAACCATTTTCATTTTCTTTCCATCACTCCAGGGAGTCTATTTTGTGAAATCACTGCCTTCTGGGCTAATGGGCTCAATTTTAGCCTTTAAAAACCACAGATCTTAAATTTTATATCTGTACAAATTTCTATTTTGGCAGATTCAAAACTCTGGTTATTACCAAGTTTTCGTTAGCTTTTTTTTTTTTAAATTAATCTTTAGCTTGATGTTAACAGGTTTTGTTTGATGAGTTTTCTTTCTGACACTCACAAAACCTGGTATACGGTGAAAAAGTGCAGTTTCAATGAATGACAACTCAGCCGCGAGTTTTGCTCCCTCCGGGCAGAGATCAGGGATACCACCACAGGGCCTGCTGTCTGAGGATACTCATGTCCACTGTCCTGAAAGTCTCCCTGACACTGGGATTTAAAAAAAATGGCATTCTGTTGAATTTCAGAGGTGTTTTTCTTTCACTGTCAGTAACACCACTAACCACGCTTTTATTTCCTTCCAAGAATTTGTCCTTTCCCCATTTTGCTTTTAGGGTATTTTTGTCTTTTTTCTTACTAATGTTTAAGAATTGTTTCTATTTTTCCTTTTTAAACGTTGGTGTTGGTGCTCTTATGAGTTACTTTTAAGTCTGACGTAGTCTAATTAACCTCTTCCATTATGATCTTTCCATTTGCTGTTTTATGCTTTAAAAGTCCTTTGCACCCTAACATCTGCTAAGTACACACCAGTGTTCTGGTATATGGATGCCTAGTCTTTTCCTGAAAATATGGGAAGTATTCAGATAAAAGTATATTTAGAAAAAATACTTTAGAACATCAGAAAACCCAACTAATACAGACCCTCAGCCAGCGGAATTCAGCTATTATAAATTTTGGCAAAATAGCACTGAGAATGCAGCTTTACTCTTGATTTTAGGTAACGTAAACTGAACTAAAAATAACTATATGCTTCTGGCGATGCCACATTTTTCTCACATACACACACACAAGAGACCTTCTAGCCTGGCCAGAGCACAGCCTAAGCCCTCACCAGAGGCTTTGTCTTGGAGACAGGCTTTATTTTCTCCTGGTTCTTGTTGGGTCTTTTTGCCCATTTCTTGCTGAATGAGATATTCTTCCAGTTTCTGCAGGCCCTCCTGGGAAGACAGATCAACAAAACAGCCTAGGAAGTCCCAGTATTCACCCCACGGGTACCCCAGCTCATGCGCTAATTCCCTGTAACAAACAAAACAAAATCAGTTATGAAAGCAGAAAAGACACATCACATAACTACGTGGAAAATAGCAACTTTACGCTAGAAATGCCAAAACAACGCTCTGCAATCTTATTTCACCCTAAACGAGGGCTGGAATAACCATACTTTGCATTTCCTGAAACCATGCTCCTCTCAGCAACGCTTCAGAGCCCATGGTGCCTCGCTGGCTCTGGCGTGTCAGAGAGAACAAAGTCCCGCGAAGAGAGGAGGCGAGACAGACCTTGACCCGACAGTAAAACCCCACAAACAGACGTACTTGTTTTTATACAGCCACTGTGTAAAGCTGCACAGGACTCTAGCTTTGACATGTAAAAATCCAGAGGTCCTTTCCAGGTTAGCTGGAAACGGGAACCCGGCTGCACGTTTTGAGAATAGGTTCTACGACATACAGTGAAGCTTAATCTACACCCTAATCCAGCTTCTGGGTTCTAGGAAAAACACCTCTCAGGGGCTTTTTTTCTCACAGTAGTTTCTAGCACAACCACCTCTTACGCCATTGTAACTCACAGAGGGAGTGTTTAGCCTTCTTTATTTCCAAGGAAACACCCATCCATACAGTACTTTATACAAGAAATTACAAAGACCCCTTTGATAAATGATGCAGAATTAGTCTAAGATCTTGGAAGGACTACTGTAACTCATACATCTGCTATAAAAATTGCAGTGTGCGTGAAGCTTGCAAGGAATTACCCCTTAAAGAAATGCTCTAAAACCCACCAGGGAGCTATTCCTGGGAACTTCTGTTTTGAAGATTGCTGAAACCAGGTTGTCCCACCAACCCAAGTAAACACATCCCCCAGGGAAGAGCATCATGGTCTATCTCTTTAATATTCACATATGGCCCTTTAAGTACCTTCCCACTCTTTCAACCCCTCTCTCCGGATCAGATTTCCTGACATTGTGGAAGAAACCTGCTTTCTCCCGAGGTGGAGTTTTCCAGAGTTTGCGGAACTCTTCTGCCTGTGAAGAAAACGAAAACGTGAACTGCATCGTGCAAACAGCCCCGCACTGTGGAGATGACCCGATGTCTCCCAGTGTCCTCCCTCTTCCTCCTGGTTACAGAACCCAGCATGTATGACCTGGGAGCCAACCGTGCCCACTCTGCTGCAACCCGACTGCATGTCGCCCAGGAGGCGGAGGGACTTCCGGAAAGGTGCCGTCGAAGGGAGGGGTCCTTCTCCCTTGCTGCGGCCTGGCATGGGCTCTGGGGGACAGAGCTGAACCTCCCTGAGGATGGAGGCCACACCTTGAGGCCAGAAGAAGGGAGCACACACCCCACGGGGCTGCCCGGCCAGTGTCAGTTCACTCTCCACCACGCACGAGAAAAACAAACTCTTCCTAGAGGTTTACGTTTCATGTACCCAAATCTAAACCTAACTGATACCACTGTTTCTGGAGACACTGTTATGGTTGCAGATCACGGATTATTTAGAGGGTTGTTAACATGAGGAAAGAGTACACGAGCCAACGTATGCAACATTCCACTAGACAGGGAACTGTCCATTGTCAAAGCCCACAGACCCTCTGACCAGCAGGCACGCTGACGAGGGCATCCCAAAGGGCTGACGTGTGGATGCAGTGACACGTGGTGACACGGCTCAGGTAAGTGGAGTGAGGCTAACAGCTCAAAGCATCCTGACAGGAAGCAAATAGGAGATAAGCTACAGGGAACACAGTCTGGAAGGCGAACCTCAGAGTTCAGAGTTGAAATGGGAGTTTCCTAGTGATGGCATTGGAGCAGACAGCTTGGTGAGGCTAGAAGGAACAGACAGGTGGCTACGGCCTGGGCAGGGCTGGCTGCTGCACCTCCCTCCCTGACAAGCACAGGCTCGTCACCGCACCCGCCCAGGTTAACAAGGCAGGCGCGCAGTCAGGACACCAGCGGACTCCCAGCAAACATTCCAAGGACCTAGCCTGGGACAGCCTGCTGGGCACTGTGGAACAGGTCTCTGAGACCACACACAAAGCCCCCTGCAGAAAGTGCTCAAGCACTGCTGTGTGGGGACACCCGGCAGAGGTTCCAGCAGCTTCCAGAGCAGCTCACCTTGGATGGACTCAAAGGCCCTGCGAAGGCTCTCAGGGTCAGAACAGGGTCGCGGGGGCTGCCCCCGAAGCGGCCGGCGTGCGGCGCCTCAGCTGTCTGGTCTGAGGACCACAGCTCCCCGATCACTGGAGAAGATGTGTCCTCTGCTCGCAGGAGCGGCACGTAGTAGTGACCTGCAGGAGAGGGGACAGGTGTGGCTGAGTGTCCTGCTCACGGTGACCAGCTACCCTAACGTGTATGGCAAGTGTCTGGGCGAGCAGCATAAGAAACCACACGTTTCATTTTACCTGGGGCTTTGCAAATGGACTTAATAATAATAAAAAGGCACCTACGCTCTGGAGCCAAAAGGCCCGGTGGGCCAGTCTGTGGTTTCCTCACCGTGCGCTGGAGGGAACTCGCTCAACCTGATGAGCTCACTGTCCCCCTCCAGCAGGTAAAAGGGCCGAGAGGCCAGGCCTCCGAGAACAGGATTAGCATACAGTGAGGGCTCAGCAAACGTGAGAGCTGTTACATTTCATCTGCCCTCTGTCTTAGTTACCCAATGCTGCTACAACAGAAATACCACAAGTGGGTGGCTTTAAAAAATAAATTTATTCTCTCACAGTCTAGGAGGCTAGAAGTTCGAATTCAGAGTGCTGGCTCTAGGGGAAGGCTTTCTCTCTCTGTTGGCTCTGGGGGACAGTCCTCATCTCCTTCCAACACCTGTGGGCCCAACATTCCTTGGAGATGTCCACGTGGCTTGGCATCAGTCTTCCCCTAGGTCTAGGAGGTTCTCAGTGAAGGGACCTCAGGTCCAAAGGATGCGCTCTGCTCCCAGCTCTTCGTTCTTGGTGGTAGTGAGGCCCCTCCCCTCTCTGCTCACTTCTCTCTCCTTTATCCCTTGTAAGATAAAAGGTATGAGTCCCAGGGGTAGACTACCCAGTAAGTAAGGTAAGCATGGACTTACTTGTGCTTACTTCCTAATCTGTAGTGAACAATTTCACATGGGTTTCAAAGATGTGGTGAAAAACATGTAAAATTGTTTTCACTACGATTAGTAAGTATGCACAAGTAAGCCCATGCTTACCTTGCTCACTGGGTAATCCATCCCTGTCAGGGACTGTAAATTCGAAAAGAGGTTTTGATTCTGTAGGAAGGTACTATGGGGTTGGGAGAGAGACAGATGCCAGCCATACCTAGACGCAGAATCTTTGATGTGAAAAATGTGTAATTGTTCACTATACATGATCTGATAAGCAAGGTAAGCACCATGCTTACCTTGCCTACTGAATAATCTGCACCTGGGTGTGACTCAAGTAAGGGTGTAACTCTTGTAAGGTTGTGGCTCAAGATACACCCCACCCTGATACTGCCTCATTAACATATGGAGGTTATGATTTACAAACGCATCACAAAATGGAGAATTACATCAGATCACAAAAAGGAGGACAACTACACAATACTGGGACTCGTGGCCTAGCTAAATTGACACACATTTTTGGAGGACACAACTCAATCCAGACATTCCACCCTTTGGCCCCCCAAAATTCATGTCCCTGCCACATGGAAAATGCACTCACCCCATCATATCATCCTAAAAGTCTTAAATCAACGCCAAGTCAAAAACCTCACCTTCTGAATCATATAAATCAAATACGGGTGAGACTTTAGGCATATTCCATCCTGGGGCAAAATTCCTCTTCATCTGTGAACTTGTGAAATCTAGACTACAAATTATCTGTTTCCGAAGTACGATTGTGGAAGAGGCACAAGGTAGACATTTCCATTACAAATGGGAGAAACTGGAGGGAAAGAAGGGATAACGGGCACCAAGCAAGTCCAGAATCTAGCAGAACAATTTACATTATTTCTCAAGGCTTGAAGATAAACCTCTCTTCTCTGAGACCATCTAGGCAATGGCCCTGCCCTCTAGACTCTGGGTGTACCATGATGGCTGGATTCTGGGTGAAGGTACCCTGTCCCTGTGCTTTTAGCTTTGCCTTCCAGGCCCACAGGGACAGCGACTCTGCTCCCCTGACTTTGGGCGGCCCCTTCTCCTAGTCCATCTGAGTAGCATCACCACCCCCTCGGCCTGGGCAGACCCTGTTCTTCCGCCCCTTGGGCATGGTAGCCCCACGCCCTCAGCTTTGGGCTGTGGCCCTATCCCCTGGCACACCTTAATGGCAGCCCCACACTCCAGAACTGAGTTGGTGAAGATCCGACTCTGAATCCTAGGAGGCTGTAGCCCTACCCTTCGAGATCCAGGAGACTGTGGCTTCACCCTTTGAAACCTAGAAGGCCCTGCTTCTTGTGCTCCTTTCAACAGTTCTGCTGATCTCCAAGTTGCTCCAAGGGTGGTCTTTTTCTTTTCTTGGGGGACAACTAATGTAGCTCCTTTGGCCTGTTTTCCTGCCTGTAGCATTCCAACAGGCAGACAGTGTTCTTCCCTTTTGTTCTTTCTCTGTCCCCTTCAGTCTAAGCTGATGGGTTTTCTGCTGTGATAGCTGGTTAGATCCATCACCCACAGGCTTAATCTCTTTAACATAAGATTCTGTAGCCACATCCTTGGTGACCATTCTAGGACACATGTCTTCAGTTTGTACAAGAAAATTTCCCAAATCTTTAAGTTCTGTTTTCATTTTGGACAGTTCATTTTTTAAGTCCATCTCTTTCCTCTCACATTTTACTATAAGTGACAAGGAGAAGCCACGCAGCCCCTTTAAAAGCTGGCTTAGAAATCTCATCAGCCAGATGTCCAAGTTCATCACTTACAAGTTCTACCTTCCATCATTTAAACATAATTCAGACAAGTTCTCTGCCACTGCATAAAATGCATCGCCCTCCTCCAACTGTCCACTCACAGGTTCATTTTCTTTCACCAGAGGCACAGTTAATGCCCCCACGTATAGCGACATTTTGTCGCCAACGCCATATGTATTCTCTAAGACGACAGAGCAGCCCTGCTGGCGCAGTGGTTAAGAGCTCGGCTGCTAACCAAAATGCTGGCAGTTCGAATCCACCACCTGCTCCTTGGAAACCCTATGGGGCAGTTCTACTCTGTCCTGTAGGGCCACTATGACTTGGAATTGACTCAATGGCCATGGTTTTTTTTTTTTTTTTTAAGACAATAGAGTCTTTCTCTAGAACTCTCCTCACTTCCTTCTAAGCTCTCAGCAGAATTGCCTCTGACGTCCATAATTCTAGCAACAGTCTCTTTAAGGCGATCTGGGCTTTTACGATTAGGCACCTTAAAACTCTTCTAGCTTCTACTCATTACCCAATTCCAAAACTGCTTCCATATTTTAAGTATCAGTTAGAGCAGTACCCCACTCCTGGCACCAAATTCTGCCTTAGTTGTCTAGTGCTACTGTAACAGAAATACAAGTGGACGGCTTTAACAGAAATTTATACTGTCACAGTTTAGGAGGTGAGAAGTCCAAGTTCAGGGTGACAGCTCTAGGTGAAGGCTTTCTCTCTATGTTGGTTTTAGGGGATGGTCTTTGTCTCCTTTCAACATCTGTGGACCTGGAGTCCCTTGGAGATTTCCATGTGTCTTGGCATCCATCTTCTCCTGGGTCTAGGAGGTTCTCAGCGAAGGGACCCGGGGTCCAAAGGAGGCACTCCGCTCCCACCTCTTCTTTCTTGGTGGTAGTGGGGTGCTTCTCCTCTCTGCTTGCTTCTCTCTCCTTTTATCCTTTGTAAGATAAAAGGTGTGACTCAAGCAAGGGTGTGACTTCAGTAAGGGTGTGATTTAAGTAAGGCTGTAACTCAAGATACACCCCACATTGATCCTGCCTCATTAACATATACAGGTTAGGATTTACAACACATCACAAAACGGAAGATAATTACATCAGATCACAAAATGGAGGACAACCACACAATACTGGGAAACATGGCCTAGCCAAGCTGACACACATTTTTGGAGGACACAACTCAATCCATGGTGCCCTACATTTCCCTATTCTTTTTGTATTGCACAACTCTGTATCACTGATGTGCATCTCTGACCTGGCCTGGAATCAAGGTAACACTCTGACTGGAAGTTTGGAGAGCCCAGAGCTGAAGTGCTGTAAGGTCCTGCATGGGGCCCCTTTCTACCTCCTCACTCATTTCTCCTGACCATCCACTGCCCGCCATGATCAATGATCACCCATCACGATCGCTGATTATCTATCACAGTAACTGACTGCCTATCACGATCACCAATCACCCATCACAATCACTGACCACCCATCATGATCTCTGATCACCTACCACCAATCACCTATCACAACTGTCTATCACTCATCACAATCACTGATCTCCCACCACTGCAGGGAGGGGCTTGCAAGGAGGAATAGATGATCATGCTGGTTGCAAATGCCAAGTAATTTTTCATTTTTAAATGCTTTTACTAATATTTATACTTCTTTTATTATAAAACTACCATACTTTCATTGTAAAAAATATGGACAACCACAGCAATTGAAACACTATACCTCACATTTAACGTCTCTGAGATCAGGATGCAATGTGTTTCTGACAACTTTTTCGCCTAAGCCACAACCTCCAGCAAACATGGCCCAGGCCCCGGGACTTGCCCGTGGACCCCTAACAACAGGCCTCAAGCTCCAGCACCGGTGACTGGCACTTACCCTGTAAATATTCTCTGATTCGCTCCTTCAGTTCCAGAGATTTGCTTTTACTTCTTTCACAAATTACCTATTTAAAAAAAAAAAAGAAGAATCAATGAACACTAAATCTTTTCTTAACACATTTTATCATTAAAATTATTTTAGAAAAGCAAGTTATAAACTCAACATAGTAAGCACAGTCTCTAAATGCTGAAGATGTCATAAAGCCCACATCAAAACTGAGTGCTGAACGAAGAGTCTTTCTTCGAAGACGTTTTGTAAACGATTCAGGGAATAGGGTGGAAAGAGCACACTCTGGCTATGGGTGGAGTTTTACTTTCTTTCTTCACGCTGCTCTGCATCTTCTAGTTTTCTTCAAGGAAAGCAAAGTCAGAAAGTGCACTATCGAGTCAGAGCAGAGAGATGCAGACTGCTGAGAAGTTTCTTGGTTTTATAAGCTTAGTGCCCGGGAGCCTTTCTCCATACATAACTTCTGTTGTTGTTGTTTACCTGTATTGAGACAGAACTCCTATCTGGTGTGGAACACGAATGTAATATCATTGCAGCTCTAAGAATCAACCTTCCCAGCCCTTGGAGAACCGTAGCCGTAAGAACAGTTCTGCTAGAAACCATGGAAAACCAGTAACCTTCAAATAAGAGGAAAGAAGGGAACTACAAAATTATCATCTCCTGCTAGCCAGTGGGAGAACCAAACTAAAATTGTACAACGTATCCAATGAACACCAGTAAATAAATTTTAAGTCTGTAGCTGACTGCTAGCTTTTTTAAGTTCAATGCTTTGAAAAAATCACCCGTTTCAAAGTTGGTTACCAGCCAGCATTTTATACAAAAAATCATACATACACACACGTAAAAGCTGAGCTCGACATATGCAAAGTAACGGTAATCTCTGAGTTGTAGAATTTTCTGATCAATTTTATTTTTTATTTGTATATAGTAAACTTTCCACAGAAAGTGGGTATTATTTATATAATAACAGCAATTACAGACGCGGAGGAGGTCAGTTAACGGCAGCAGCGCCTGGTACACACCAAACAGTCTCTGGTTCTTGTGTGGTCCCGCTCCCTTCTCCACTCCACAGGCAGAGCACCCCTCTCCCCACACCCCTCCCCTCGGCGGGCTCACTCTGCTTGACTGCAACAAGGTGAGAACACACGTGAGGGCTGAGCAGAGCCTGGTGCACACGGAGTGCACGTAGGTTGGCACTTCCACCACCATCATGTCCCCTCACCACCACTGCCGTCCTCTCTGGCCCTGGTCAGCTGTGTACACCCAGAGGAAGGACTTGACAGAAGACTATGGGATGCTCAGAACAACTGGTCCCCAGTTCCAGGGAAAATGGAATCAGCATAATGGGTCAGTGGCAGCATCTTTATTTCTGAAATGCTGGTTTACTCAAATTAGGCAATAACTATACATTGGAAATGAACTGTAATCAAAACAAAAAAACGCCTGTGCCATCTTAAAATAAAAAATAAATGTCTTTTTAGAGATCAAGTTCTGCGATCCCAACACAGCCCACTTGGCAGTTTCGTTCCCTCCTGGTTCTCCAGAGTGGAGCCACCTCTTTCTGTGGTGGCTCTAAGGCTGCCCCTGAGGCAACCACGCTCACACAGCCAGAGTGGCAGGACCCATGGGCTGCCACACGGGCTCCAACTTCATGTGCTTTCCTCTCTAACCCCATATGACCACTGCATTTGAACAGGTACTCACATCTTCAGGCGTCTTGCCATATTTATTCCTTGAATTTTTTACAATCAAAGGGTGGGAAGAAAGGACGTTGACCACATCTGCATTCCCAAACTTGCAAGCGAAATGCAAGGGTGTGTCATAGCCCTGGAAAAGGAGCAGAAGGATACTCGGGTTCCTTATGTCATAAGGCTGCTATACGATGAAAATAGGTATTTAGAAAAAAAGTGCCACAGGAACAGAAACAAAACACCACAAAACACACCATTTCCCTTTTGTAACTAAACACTGACGGGCACGTTAGCACACACACACTCTATGCCAGGACTCAGCATGTATATCTAGCACCGGGTCCTCACCCTGCGAAAGTGCTCCTTATCTAGCTGGGGACATAGCACGTGCTCAGGAAACAGCAGCGCTGATGTTCAGGGCCTGGTGAACGTCTGCACGTAACTGGTCCTCAAAAGGTGAGGTCAACAGAAGAAGGCAATATTCAGCTTAAAGCTACATCCACGAATTTGGGCTGTTCTCAGAGAAAATGTGGATACCTGTGTTTTTCTAACATGAGGTTGCAATTACAGGCCCCAGCTCCAGGGGGCTTCCTCACAGGGCTGCAGAGGACTCAGCTTAATTACACTGCGTGGCAGCCACTCTGTCTTTCTGCTTCTGTTTGTGCTATCCCCAGTCCTGAGGGTTAACAGGCCTCACGTCAGCGTGAACACCCACACTGCTTCATGCCCTACCTGTCTCACAGCACTGACTGGCCAGCCGGTGGGCTCTCACACTCCCGATGACAACACTTCAAGCACTTGACAGGGCAAGCACACCCCACCCCCCACAGGCATGTACAGGGGCTTCAGAACCTTCCCAGAGCCAACCAGGAGTACTGTGCATCTCACGGAGCCTCATGCCAGGCTCAAGAGAGCCACCCAGTGATCTGGCACCTAGAGAGTAAGCAACTATTTGGCAGTTGATGAATGAGCAAAACACATCCTGAGTAACCACGCTGCCAAACAACATGCTCCTTGCCAGCACGAGAGGGCAGTGTGAGGGGAGAATGGCCTATGGTTTGGGGGCCCCCAGTCTTTGAGGATAGAAATGATGGACACACAGCCTGGCAGGCTCTCCAAGAGGGAGGCCAGGTCTTCTCTATGCTTCTGGAGTTCACTGTCCTTCAATCAGAGCCCAGCTCATGCCTCTCCTCTGTCCACAGGGTTTAGCCTAAAGCAGCCAGGGGCATTCTTGTGAGTGCAGGTGTGCCTTGTGGTTCTGACCACACTCCTCAGCTGAGTCCTCCACCTGCCCTGCACACTGATGCCCAGTGCAGG